CTGCAAGTATGCAAGGTGGGTAGAAGAGGGTTTAGTTGAGATGTCTGAGGTGTACAGGAAGAACAGGATTAGTTCGAGCACGAAGTGAATCTTCTCTCCTACAGGACAAGCGGAGTAGTCCAACCTTTGGCAAACTCGGAATAATCGTCCTGAGCAAGAGGATTTAGTATAAGGTGTTTGGAAGGACTAGTTTTAATTTGTACAATAATAGGTTAAGGTTTAACCATGCAATATGTAAACAATATTTAGCAAAAGTAGGTTTAATTCCATCAGCACTCTGCGAGTACTGCATGGAAGACGAAACGATGGAGCATATATTTATGAAATGTGTAAATACAGACAGACAAGAAAGGAATTGTTTGATGCGCTAAGGAAAATTGTCGCTACGCCTTTTGGCGATAGGGCGTTATTATGTTCAGGGAGTATAAATGTGTATAACTTGTTATTTAAGTATTTAACTAAAATTCATCAAGGGGAGGCATTAGGAGGTCTGGTGGAAGTGGTGGCTGTGGCCGAGCATCGTGGTGCGGCTAGTCTGGGGGGTCAACTGCTCCGGGCGGTACTTCGGTGACTGCCAGTGCTCTGGGTTGTGTTTCTACCCCTGGACTGGAGAAGGATGTGGCATGACATGGCACACATGCACATTCTTCCAAAACAGTCAGCCACGGTTTATAATGCAAATAAAATACAGTAGAGAAAAAGTAGAGAATGCTGGCTTTCATAGGGGTGCAGTGCCGGGGGTAGATGGGTTCCCCCATCCCAGCGGTTCGCGGGGCGTTGGCTGCGGCATGGCTACACATGGTTCATGTCTATAAAGCCAATACAAAAAAAAAAATAATAATAATAATAAAAAAATGTACAGTTGACCCTCGTGTCACTTGCTGTTAGACATCGTTCTTTACGCTCAAAGGATGAGGAAATGAGGTCTCAAGCACTTTCTGGTTTGTAGTGTGATGAGAACGGAAACAAAATTGGTGGTCTAGGAGAAGATGGCAAAAATTAAGTGTAGGGATCAATCGTTTTAGGAGGAACTTCTCAAATATTTTCGAGAACAGAGGGAGCAGGCGAATTGGACGGTAGGAAGATGCATTATCGGCTAGTTCACCGGGTTTAGAAAAAACGATGATCTTTGAGTAATTCCAAAGCAAAGGGAAGTGTGTAGCACCGAGTATACTGTTGTATAGGCATGTGACGAAGATTATGTATTTTTTAGGGAATCAAAGGAAGATTCGGGACATGGAGGTCAACATACAAAAATATACTAAAACGTTTACGTGGTGCACACATTAAAAAATATGTAAAAATTTTAAAAATAACAAGTTTAATAAGAACTTTTAACGTTTAATTTGACATATTGATTATTTAAAGAAAATTTTGTATTATATCTAGCAAAAACTTTCCTTATGAACGCTTTTGCTGAAGCCAACGTATTTTCTCATCTTCTGGTAAGATTGCAATGGAGCTATTCAAATGAAACTGCGTTTTTGTGTTGATTTTCATGACATCACTCATTATATGCAATTATCGCTGGTACCCCGTCATGAGTCATTACGGACAGATTGCATATGCTCAAAACAGGTTTACGATTGTTTACCAGTCGTTTATACACTTTTGGGTGATACTTTCAGTAGTTCTTCTTTTACAGTAAAGTAATTAAATACAATTTTCATCATAACTGATGACGGCCCTGTCTGATTATCTGTACAGTGATCAAATTTTAGTGAGAATCAAGTAATTTTTGTTGAATGTGCATGTCTTTGAAATGACATGTATTTTTCTTGTAACTGTGATATCTTACAACTTTTAATCTTGTATTTCTGTATGTTTGTTGTTTTTTATTAATATTTTAGTGAATGGCTACATAATCTTTCTTTTTTTGGTTACGATGCGGCATGAGGGTAGGGGATTGAAAGGGATCCTCTCAGAAGTCGTCTAAAACACTAATTTCTAAATTAATAAACAAATCTGTTATAATTAATTAACATATAAGAGTATTGATGGATTTGTACCCTGTTGAATTGAAGACCGAGATGATCTGTTCAAAATATCAAAACTTTTAATTCTTCCGTAAAAAAATCCCTTTCACATTGCAAAGAGGTGTGGTGAAAGACATGGCAAATTGTTAAAAATATAAAACCGGAATTAAATATTACACATCGCGTTATCGGGTGCAGTAAAGCGGAAGATTGATAAGAGATTACATTTATTGTCCTGAATCGTTGATTCCATTAGAACCGGCCGGAGGACGTAGGCGTTTTCCCAGTGAATAGTAAACCTGGTGAAAAATGAAAACTGTAATAACTCGGTCTCGTAAAATTTGAGATAGCTCAACCGTTTGAGAACCCTGATAAGCCTTCATTTTCTCTCGAATCGGGCTACCGGTTGGGGATCACGTCTGGCTTATACGGAGGCCCCGGGTCGGTTTTTCATTACTTATTAACTCACGCCGCTGCTTCTGTGCGGGTGGTTTTTTAATAACAATGACCTCGACTCCGTCCTTTGTGTATATACACACCCTGTATATGAAACCTTCGACGCTCCCTGAAACACCCTCGTCATTTTATAACATCTTAGCTTACAACACTTGCACGAACTATTTTTCTTTAGTCTGGCCGTTTCCGTTAGAACAAAATAACAAAATAAGCGTAAAATAATCAGAAAAGACAAAATAAGTTCAACAACGCGCACACCTTAAAAATAAATCTAATTAAATATTTTACTTATTATTAATTTTGTCTTTTTGAATCATTTTTGTCTGCCTAGTATTGCTATTTTCGTCTGCCAGACGCCTTCGGCAATATTTATGTTAGAGTTAACAAACTATCCCAAAAATACATCTTTGAAATCCAAATTTCATTTAAGGATTCCGAAAATCTTTGCAAATGAGATCTGTGGGAGATATGTAGGCAAAATTAACCACAGAAGATTGTAGAGGACCATTTGACTACGTAATGAAAGTGCACTACTAAAAGGAGTGACAAAAACAGCGAAATTAGTCGAGCAAGGATTATCTAAATGACCTAATTACAGATTCATCCATTGGTGAGTTTGTATCAATAATCTACCAAGATGGAAAAAGCAAACACAATGTTAGAATTATTAAAGTATCTCTAGAATGGACTAATTACTATAAAATAAATGAAGAAAAAATATAATAAAATCAAAATCAAATAAAAAATTTAACCAGATAAATTTATGATATTGAAATTTTATCAAAATTAAAAAGCATGTAGACAAAAAAGTTTAAATAAAACTTTAAAGTATTAAGACTAAACTTAAACTAGAAAATTTATTCAAAATATAACTATATATCAAATCAAAGACTAAGGTGTAATAATAATTTAACTAATTACCCTCGTGTCTTAGTTTAAAGGTTTCGACTTCCAAAAAATATCTGATGAAGAAGCTGGTACCTGAGTCGTGAAACGCAAAGCGAAAAATACACCAATTAATAGTCGGATAAATTCAATTAAACACCTAAGTATAAAAGACAAAACGCCACAGAAATTCCAAAATAATGTAATAAACAGAAAAAATTATAAGAATTGTAAAAAGCTATTTCTAAAACAGGACTAAATGTATATGATTGATATTAAATATTTAAAATAATTAAACATTTTTGACATGGAAAATATAAAAATATCAGACAGAGAAAATGATCTTTAGAGAAGAAAAATTCTAAGCAATTTCTAGATAATTAAAAATTGTGATGAACTAGTTAATAAGAAAACATTACATGCAGAAATTAAAAAATAGCATACTACCTTAACTTATTAATTTAAAAAATAATCTAGAAACATGTTTTACGTTTCTTAGCAAACTCATATATTATGATAAATAAGTCATAAAAAAATAAATATTAATACAGAAAGGAAGAAAAAAAATAGTACAAATTTAACAAAATAAAACTTAAAACCCCCTATGTAACACTTCCGAAATTGTAACGATAAAAAATACACGCAGCCAAGGCAATTTGCCGTTTTTAAGCTTTATAACGTATTTTTGTTAATAGTTTTCTATTTCAGCATAAATGTAAAAATTATTTAAAAAAATACAATAAATAATAAAAATATATAAAATAGGGAAAATAAAATTGTTAAATTAAAATATTTTTCAAAAATATATCGTGCAAATACCTGAAAATTGCATAGCACGAAATACTAGAGACAAAACGTCGAAAATTTAAACAATAAAAACACCTTTACAAAAAAGCCAGAATTAAGTAATTCCAAAACAATATTTAATTCTGGTATAATTTATTTTTAATGTGTGATCTGTAGAAGTGTTCAGAGATGAATCAGCCAATAAAGATATTGAAATGTTGAGAAAAAACTAACGACAAAACAACGACTATAGCCAGGCCTGATTGAGTGGAGAAGAGTTTCACCAAACAGAAGATCTCAAGAGGAAGTCACATAATATTTTCTCCCTTTATTTTGTTTGTTTTCAATCATCGTGGATTGGCAGGCATCTGCCGTGGTGTCTTATGTGTGTTTAATAAACTAGACCAAGAAAAAACGGATATTCAAAATCTAAGAATTCTAAAACATTCTCTCTGCGATAGTTTTATTTATTTATTTTCCTTTCATTTCTGAGCTATATGCAAGTGGAACAGTCGCTGGTGATGGTCAGAAACTCGCCAGGCATACCAAAACAGAGAACAACGATGAGCGAAAACGACCAAAATATGGTTCATCGACCCGCAGACCTCATGAATGAATCTTTTAATAATTATTTCCTCTTTTTTCAGATTCCAGCTTTCTTCCTGTTTTTTATACTATCTTAGATATTATCATATCTCGTGTGTGTAACTGTCCGTTAAGAGACCTATGTATCTATTATTACCAAACAGATCTACGAACTGCGTATAAAAACGATTTTCTCTCATGTGTTTTTAAATTTACTTAACCTAAAAGTGCAAGCAGAAATATTTTCAAAACCTGTTATAGGCATTGTTTTTAGAAACATATGGTTCAAAACATACACAATAACATACAATATAAATTACACAAATTATATTCATACAATATTGACTTCCAATTACAAATATTTAATCAAAGTTTAAATTAAATCCAAATTAACAAATTTTATAAACCTTGGATTGCTTGATTGTAATTTTAAATATCATAACTGATATAACAATGTTAAATTTGGAGACATCACAAATCATAGAAACACGCAGATATTCCAATTGTCTGGTTGTATCAAGACGGATTTTTGATATTCGGAGTTTTAATTTTTTAAGTCGATCCTGACAAGATCTGAAACGATAAAATTATAAAGTGACAAATGTAAATGGTGATCATTTTTATAATGATTTATATTTGATTTATATCATCAATATAAAAGTAATATGGATTTTTTGTAAAGACATTTTCTCATTTTATATCTTTCTTTTTAAACTTTTCCATGTAGTTTCTTTTATATTTTTTTTTATTTTTACATTAAATATTTTTAACGTTTCGGGAATTTACACTCATCATTAGCATCTATACTATCTTCTTCAAAAAGAAAAAAGGTATAACAAAGGATATTAGTATTTCACAACGTTTTATTATGAAGCTTAAGAAACTTTTTTTTAAATTTATTATTATATATAGTTTTTAAAAAGATATATAACCATACTGTATCTCTAATTAAAGTTATTTAAACAAAAAATTATTTTATTTAAGAAAGATAAAATTAAATTTAAAAAAAGAAGTTTACTGGCCGACAAACCGCATGGTCAATATAGTATAAATGAAAGAAGAATACCGAGTTGTTGTTTTTTAATTTTTTAATTAAGTTTAATTTTTTTAATTTAATTTAAGTTTTGTTAAAAGATTTTCATTTATACTATACTTTTAAAAATGCATTTTTTAAATAAATACATAATACATAAATATTTTAGATTTTTTACATAAAAGGATTTTTTTTGCTTTTTTGGCCTCAACATTGTTTTAAGAGTTTGCGCCAAATTTAAACTATGGGATTTTTAAAAGTTTTTTAAATTAGTTTTTTTAAATATCAGGATACAAATTATTATACATAGAATTACATAAATATATTATAAATTTATATGTATTGTATTATACATATACAATAATATTACACGTGGATGCTGATGATGGTTCCCCATTGCCGAAACATCCAAAAATATTTTAATGTAAAAATAAAACTAAAAATTTATTCAAAAAGCTATAAGGAAAAGTAAAACCACACACCCACACCCACACACACCCACACACACACACGCACGCGCGCACGCACACACACACACACACACACACACACACACACACACACACAGAAATTATAAATGGTGATGTTTTAAACCCGCACAGAAGTTCAACACTATTTTAGCATGTAAGTGGGAAAGGGGAAAGGATTTTTGATTTATGAAGTCGATATCCAGCAAAAAATTTGAAAGTAGGCACAAATCAGTTCATTTTAAACGTTTCCGTTAAAGAGGTAGAAAAGTGCTTTAATTCTTCCGCGTTCTTTTGCAACTGATGATGCAAATGATTTTAATGAGATAGATCACAAAGTTAGTGTTTCACTTAAGCCATCATTAATTTAATAAAATTAATGTGAATTTCAGACCATTTGTCAAAACCTGATCAAAATCCGTTGGGTGGGAGTTCGATTTCGTAATTTTGGTCACGAACATCGGCTTACTTCGGCTGAACGTGAGCCTCCTGATAAATGGTGTTGTAGAAAATCGACAACTTAATAGTAAATTCATGAAATAAATTGATAAATAACGTTATTAATGTTTGTAATAAATAATATTATAACAATTGTTTCTATTAAATGAAAGAGAACGTTGTGGCCGTGTCCTTTGGAAAAAAATCCATCTTATTCTCTTATGATCTATTTGATAAAATGATTCTGGCATTATCTCAAGTCTCCTTAAGGCTCATTTTGGCTGTTTAAGTATTATATGAGGTTTACACCAGTACGAGGAACTTTTATTTCTTATTATTTCATTTGTCTCTGTGCACGCTTGCGACCCCAGCCTATAGGTAGTTGTACCCACCTTCAAACGGATTTAAGCAAATATAAATTTCTTAAAATGAAAAAACTTAAGAACTTTTCAAAAATCGACATTAAATAAAGTTTTATCTAGCTTCATATTATTGATTAATTAATATAATATATGAATCCTTCATCAAAATAAGACGAAGGCTTAGAAGGTATATTTATGTTATGTTTCATAGATGTATTCATCTTACACTACTGTTTCATACATCGGTGAGTCCAATACATACATCCCGTGCAAAGAGTAAAAAGAAGAAGGAGAATTTTGTCTCATTTTATCCTCTCTCTTACTCTCACCCCGATCCAGTCACAAGTAAAAATTGAACTTGGGAAACGCCATATTACCTCAAAATGCAGATCTGAGAGCTAGGCAGAAAAAGACGAGGACGTAAAAGAAAAAGAGGAATCGATCGAGGGCTGCGGCGATCGCGGCCCACGGCTTTCCCGGCTGGTTCGTCGGAAGCATCCCTCGTTCTTCCCGGGTGTCGTCGTAAGATCGGATTTCATCCTCACCGCTCATCTCTACCGTGTAACCCACCTGGTCAAGCATCAGTTACAAAGTCAAGTCCATCGAACTACAATCTAAGAGTAACAGAAATACCTGTTGGTGGTGCACTCCGAGTATGTAGCCCAATGGTCCTCTTACGATGTTCTGAATGTACCACGGAACTGGCTTCTTCAGCGACGCCAGGTTGTAAGTGACGACTGACATTATTATGGCCAAGACCACCAATATGAGGTGGTAAGAATAGAAAGAAACTAAAAAATTACTTAATTGAACAACCACAAGTCAAATAATTCATTCAATCAGATAAATGGCTAGTTTTACGCAAAATATATTATAGTAAAAAACATAAGTTGATCAAAATGATAATAGTTATAATTATTCCATACATGTATTTAGTTGACATAAGTACCTTATTAATTATTTAATATTTACTACAAAAATAATAAAGAAAAAAATACAATGGACACTTTTGTGCCAGATGAACAGTAACTTAAAACAGCATTAGAAGTAGCACACAGCAATGGCTAATCGAAACAACACGCTCAAAATAAACAGTAAATGGACCACATTCTCTTCAAAAGGAACAAAAACACTCTTAATAATTAACACAACTAAAACTTAAAAAAATGAATAAAACAAATTAGTTAATCAACTCTATATATTATACAGTGTTGCTATTTCGGGGGAAAAGGTTGAAATGGTTTTTCCAAGGATCTGAAATAAGTAGTTTAAACAATTTTAATCAGCGATGTAGATTATAAACCATCTAATGTTTTCAGTTATCGGTTTGTGGTCAAGATCAACCACAAGATTTTGTTTTATTGCCAAGTTTACGAATGTATATCTAGTCATTCTTAAGGCGAAAAACGATGTCCAAATTTTATAAATTTTGGCGAACATACGAAAATCATGTTACAGGTGACAAAATAAAACCATGCCTTTCTTTATAACATATATATATATATATATAGTTAGCTCACGTAGTAGAGTAGCGGCGTATCTAGCCGAAGGTACAGACAAGCCCAGTATGATCGGTTACGACCAAAACAGCGAGTATACACAAATCGGTTACCATCATGTTATAAATATAATTTATATAATATATAATTTCATGTTACTTCTATTCTTGATGCCAATTTTACAGTTGAGTGATTTTCTCCTGTGATCCGATGGTGTTAGACCTTTTCGATCAGTTTGGTCTAACTAATCTAGCTGTTTTGATCAGTGAGAACGCGTTTCGATATTTCACCATCTACAATTGAGGGTCAAGGTTATAAGCAGGGAGACGAAAAGTACTGACTCCTCATCACCTTGCTTAACAAAGTACAACAATCCGGTGGTTAACAAACGTTGACGAACATCGTGTCTTTTTCATCCTTGTCACATTTTACAAACTTTAAAAAATCCAGATAACTCAAGCGGCATATCTAGCCGAAAATCGTGGGTTCGAATCACGCTCAAGCCATTGACTTTTTTATCTCAACTAAAAACGTTAATTAATTGAAAGATATTAATTGGTCAAGCAGACCACAAAAACTAGTGACTGTTTATCTTGACCACAAACCTGATAACAGAAAACAAACAATTTTAATGTCACATTAATTGGCAATTTATTATCATATTTACTTTTTTAAATGAAACCTACTAAGTGTTGATACATTTTCCATAACTAGATTTTTTAACATAAAATTGATACAACTGGAGTGGTTTATTTTCGGAAAAATTTGAATTCAAAGAATAAAGGGTATTTTATACTTTCCATGTTGTTAAAATTAAAATAAATATTTTGGAAAACTATCGCTTATGATAGGAGGAGAATTAATACCTCTAAGCTAGTACAATTTTGTATTAACCTAATAAATGTACAACAAGTTCAATGTGTTATTTTTATTTTCTTTTTGTTTTAGATTACAGACGTCTGTAATAAATTGAATATAAGAAAAAAATCTTCTAAAGACGAATTATCAGGCAATATCGGTATACGGTGTTCCATGACTAACAAAAGGGGCGAAAAATACGTCGGCCTGACGAAAATATAGTATGAATCCCAAGAACAGACATCAGTTAAACGAAAATCATACAATCCACTCCAGGTGATAGGCATAATCAGACTGTAGCACAAGGATGATCGGATTCAAATAACAAACTAGTAGCAAATTACATATTTACAAAAACCAAGGACACGTTCAAACGTAAAGTCCAGATACAAATCAACTGATGAATTATAAAGACAACACATGTACGCCTACCCCGAAACCAACACGAATACTCATTAGTGCAGGTAAGTTAGAAATTGTAATACGACGTGTATAAGTGATGAAAACATTCTTGACCACTAAATAATACAAAATTAAAAACCCAAATCACTATACGACTTTAAAGCAAAGAACCATCCGGAAAAAACAATTAACCTACATTTAGTCTGTAAAAGATGTTTGTGTGACAAAGATCACTGATGAAGCAACACAATCCAGACTAATCTTTGAAAATGGTGAAATGTCGATGAAAAGTAAGAGACGAGGGTGATAGGAAACATCTAAACTTGTACTACACACTCACACAACATTTGAAAGACGTTATTCCATACTTAGGTATGTTTAAAATATTAAATAACCAGTCTTCAGGATAGCTTTGAAAATAAATTTTGTGAATATTTAACATTTGAATGATCAATATTTTTATCTTTTTAAACGAAAAAATTAATTCAAATTTTACTCGAAGACGTTTTTTTTTTAATCAAACAGCGTAGCTAAATTTACCGATGAGAGGAGTATTAGATCCTGTAGCTGGGAGGCGCTGAGAAAAATATACAAGATAAATGCAGATAAGGAGAAGTATCGTTGCCGACAATACCATTCTTTCTTGCGTATGCGGTGACAACCAGAATAAGGAAAGTGTCATTAACACCATTCCTGAAAAAAAGATAAAAACAAAGCAAAAAATAATTAGTTAAATGTATAGGTTACAAATAAAGATGTAAATTTTATCTTGGGTTTGAGGTTGTGTTTATAATTCAGATTAGGATAAATTTCACTAGAAAAATTTACATGTTGTCCTGATATTAATTAAGTAAATCAAGTTATATTTTGTATACGGTATACAACATCTATAATCCCAAATTAAATCCGGCAACAATCAGTTGGATGAACTAATAAAAGCCGCGTGTCTTATTCCAGCGGTCGTTGAATCACGACGATTGAGCCAGGAGAAAAGGGGGAATTGAGTTTTCAGTCGGATGACATCTCCCTCCGTATTTACTCAATTTCAGTCCCGAGACCGACAGAGGCGATAATTAACTAGATCTCCAAAGGGAGAATTAAATGATTTTAAAAATAGATTGAATCTCGCCATTTTTATTAGTATTCGTTGTCACAATAACCAATAAACAAAGTGTTTAGGTGTTGTACATTGTTTTAACAAAGTTGGTTGAAGTTAAATTCTGTTGATTCAAAATGTACACCGCTTACTCGCAATCTATCATAACTATTACCAAATAACTTAAAGTTTGTACGTCCCTTTTACCACACAACACGGGAAAATGTTAAATAGCTGTGTTAAAAGTTAATATTAAAGTTACCGATTGTAGGCAAAACGATGGCTGAATAATATGTCGCTGAGAGCCTGCTGACGGTCAGATATATGTACACTTGTATGTAGGGTTCGTCGCAGCATGCGTAGAATGTGACTTTTCTTTTAGTTTCGACCTTAAGAAGTTTCCACTCGGACCCATCGACTCCCAACGTGTCTCCATTGACCTGCGACATCAATTATATCACTGAGAGGTCATTAAGTTTTATGTGTGGTGATTAGTGACCGTTTGTTGATGATTACTCAGATATCGTGAGATGCGGTCACCCGTCACATCACGTACGTTTCAGAAAAACTTCCCCTCCCCACCCCTTCAAAATCCAACGTATATACTCTCAACACGACACGTAAAAATGGCACAATTACGCAGAAAACAAACACTTCGAGTGAGTAGAAATACTTCTATTGAATATAAAAACAATATTTATTTGCATTGTATAAATTTACTTTTTTCCTACGTGTAATTGTTAAATTTAATCAATGTTTGTAAATCCCAGGCCCTGAAGATGATCTCAATAAAGATCGAAACGTTCGCACGATAAAGACAATGTTTTTCTGAAACTTACATCATACCAGACCGCATCTCACGATTTCTGAGTAATCATTAAGTTTTATGTTTCATTTCAAAACCAGCGAGACTAGGACCCGGATTATCGGTAAAGATATATAAATAGGAATACAACTTTGACGCAGTGGCAGAGTGGGCTGATTCAGCTAGGAATAAATATATATATCTTTTTTAAAAATATTTTTTGAGCGAGAAACAAAGTTGATATTTTTTGTTATTTTTGTACCTACCAAAACCCCGGATTTAAATGTGTTAACTAAAAAAATATAAATAATTCAAAAAATATTTTTTCTTCACCATTTTCTAACAACACCGATCTACTGGAAATTCAAATAATGGCACCGATTTCGCCTCCGTAAATGGAATTGGGATTAAATAAACTACAAGATCTGAAAGATTTTTTTATCATTAGTTCTTTTACTTATTATGACAAAAAATATAAACATAGTAGACAAAATCGGAAAAAAATTATCTTTTCCAACGGTTGTGCGGTTGTATAAATCTTCGATTTGGAACAAATGCAAAGGAGTTATGAATTTTTATGTGGAACACTGGATAACGGTGAAAAAATTGCCCCCGGCGAATCCACCCCAAAAACGTACATTTTTTGTTGCGAAACAGCTCATTATTTTCTAATCCTAGGTAAATAAAAACAACTCGAATGATATACATTAGCTTTGAAATACATGCACAACAAAGGAAGAAAAACATTAGAGTACTAAAATTAGCTATTATTTTTCTCAGCTCCTAGAGCTCATTGGCAAGAACGCATGGACACGTTTCTAATATTTTTCAATTGTCATTAATTTTAAAAAGTAAAATCCCTCGCCTGCAGCTTCCCCTTGTTAATTGCTTAATTGTTAGTTACATAATTACATATTATTATACATAGTTCTGTTAAACGTTCCGAGATTTCATTTCCAGTTTTTGAGAGACTTGCATTACGTACATTGAGTGACGATGATATTCAAACTATGCTTTATGATTTTATATGACAGGCAAAGAGTTGACAACTCACCGTCTCTTCTATTGCAGTGAGGTTAATCTGGTCGCCTGAGGAGGTCCAGGAACCTAGAATAAGATGGCACATCTGGGTATCGAACGGCCAGTGGGTCAAGTCGAGGTTGCAGTAGACTATGAACTGAGCAGGCGGCACCCACAGGACGGTCCCGCTGCAGTATGCTATGGAGTGAGAATTGCCGTAATGGTCCAAGGTGTTTCCAACTGCACTGAAATCGACACAACAAAAATGGTTTTGTAGATTGGGGCCAAGAATTTTCCCTTACGGGACGCTGACTTGGACTTCTTATCTCCTTACTTTCAAACAACCATCTGTTAGATTAGATTTTAGGATTTGGTTAATATGGAGTGAAGAGGAAATGCTTTAGTTTTTAGAGAAACCCCCGACTGCTCGACTGTGTCAAATAGTTTAGTGATGCCTAAGAATGTTTTCTAATGCAAAGGAAATAGTGTGAATAACATACTGTTTTTAATAAGTAGCTTAGTTTTTCGCTTATTGCTCTCTTCCACGGAGCAACTTGCCTCAATTTTAATAAGGCTGGCCTAGGTCTCCTGTTTCGTTTTCTAGAGGATCGGCTTATTATACTGTGTAGACATAGTCTAGGTGTTTTATCAGTTTGAATGTGTATTTATTAGAGTGAGTGGTGAGGGGTGATGGTGAAAAAGAGCATCACCATCGCCCCTCAGGCAGTGCTATGCTTAGGCTCGATGGAATATTTATAAAAGTACCTCATAGACTCTAATTTTGATTAGATTATTAATAATGTTTATAGATCGATGGAGGAATATCCAGTACTCCAAATTTTTTATTTTTTTTTTTATTGTATATTAAAGCTACCTTCATTTTGCTATCTAATAACAATTTATGAAGAAGTAAACAAGAGTGGAGAAACTACCCACTTGTAATACTCTATAATTGAATGGTGGGATCAGGACAGTTGTTTTAGACCTTGTGATAAGAAATAAAAAAATAAACCACACCAAAAAAAAATACAAATAAACACCTTTTTTCTATTTTTTTGAAATAAAAATGAATAATACAGAAAAAATTCCTTTTTTTAAATTAAAACTAAATAATACAAATAAATACCTTTTCTATATTTAAAATGAATAATACCGATTAAAACCTTTTTTAAAAATTAAAAACACTAAACCAATACTTTTTTTTCAATTAAAATTAATGACATTGAGCGGCAATAAAAGAGAAAGAAAATCAATTGACAGAAATAAAATAATAAAATAAAATGTTCTTGGGACAAGTGATTACCCTGCCAGTGCAGCTCGATGAAAGTCGAAGGTAAATTAGCTGTCCAACTCAATCAAAGCCGGTTGCCCAGTCCGATGTGCCAGAAAGATCTCCTCTGACCAGAAAAAAGCCGTTGAATCCAGAAATCTATATATTTTGTCGTCCCCGGGGAAAACGGCGAGAGCGCAGAACCGCAAAGGCCAGAAGCAACCTGTCAGGACGCCACGCGTTCCTCGTCTGCCGGAGCCGCCGCGCATCAAGCGAATTCTGGTGCGCTCGTGCTCCAATTTGAAAGTTGTTATAACTCCTAAGTATTCTTTATTCAATTGTTGACACTGGATAGAAGATCCCGTGGCCATCGTCTTTTTAGTCGGTTGGAAAAAATTCGTCGGGATGAGAGGATGTGAATTTGAGGATTCATAGTGGTTGGGAGGTTTGTGTAAAATTTTCGGTAACGGGAGTGGATTACATCTTGGACAAAAGCAAAATTTAGGTCTATATCGGTAGGTTAGTTGGACACATAAAAGGGAGCATTAAGGATTTTTCTGAGGATTATGGAATGGGCTCTTTGGATGCGTAGGATATTGTAACGTTTGGCTGAACCTCACACTTCAAGTCCATAAGTCCGTATTGGCTTCACTAGGGTGATAGAAATTTGTTATATATTGTTTGATATAAATTGTGATATATTTGTTTAAGAGAAGTAGGTTACATCAGTCAAGAAGTCGTGAAAGTGTTCTGTAACGTTTCATAACTTCTAGTCATTTCAGTCGTGTGTGGGGATTCCACGTCAGACGTTTTTTCAATGTATAGTCCTAAGTAGCGCACCTTGTCCGCAGCTGGGAGGGGTATTTGATTGAAGTAGACTGGAGGAGGGATCTTTTTGCGGAGGGTGAAGTTTATGTGGATGGATTTTTTTAAGTTGAATTTTTTTTTTTTACACCATGATTCCAGTAGAGTGAGGCGTTCTTGAAGGTTTCGAGTGGAACTGACTGGATCAGAATTGCTTGAAAGGATCGCTGTACCGTCTGCAAAGGTTAGGGTGGTAGTTTGAGGATGGGATGGGGGTCTGCTGTGTACACTTGGTACAGTACAGGCGCCAGAACACTGCCCTGCGGTACACCAGCAAGGAGAAGGTGATTTGGGGAAGACGCCGATCCTTCGCGAGAACAGCAGGTCCGGGTGCCATACTCGATCGAAAGCCTGGGCCATATCAAGGAAGGCACCCAAACAATATTGTCCCAACTCAAGAGCGGCAGAAAAAACATCTTCAACGCGGTGGCACTCCAGTATTCCACCGACGAATCAGAATGAGAGCATGCGTCAAATTAATGTATTTATTTGTGCGTCTGATTTATCCAATTTAAATAGTGTTGGGCTAGATTATAGTTCGCATGCGTTTGGGGCTGATTTACCTAGCTGTCGATAGGCCTCGTCGGAGACTAACCCCGTAGATAGGAAAGCGACGATCTCCAGGGTATTAGGCTGAAGGGGGATACTACCCGCGCATCGGGGAGTGACAACCCTTCGTGGTGAAAGTTCGAATAAGGCTGGCATTTTCCACGTAGAAGAGATTTTCCGTTGTTATTGCATCGACCTATACTTTTATGTATATAATTTTCACTTCAATATAATTATATATAATTTTCACAGGTACGGTATTGATTGCTGGTTGTTATATCTTAATATTCTACGCTTGGAGTGCTGAAGATGGGCTTTATAGCCCGAAACAGCAATTTCTAAATAAATTCATCTACCATGGAATATCTCATTTTTTCAACCTAATATTCATTATTTGAAAAGAATTTTCTCTCACGTACAGTTAATATTATAAATACGACTAGGAGTTTACAATGAGTATTTTGAGGATTTTTAGACATTACAATAATGATAGTGAATTGCAGTGAATTACTATTTTTATTACTTAACCGAAGTGGTTAAAACAATATAAATATATAGCAGTAAATTTTATAACGTTTTAATCCTCTAATAGGCAGATTTTTTTTTTCATTTACACGAAATTTTGTGAGATTGTTCCTATTATTAACTTAAACGGTTTAGTTGAAAGGAGGCCCATATAATGTAAATGTACAATGTACCAGAAAATGTTTTAACGCTCATTGTAAAAGCAAAGGAAACAGCGAGATTAATTCTCGGAAACAGAAGAGAACCAATTCGCGTGTCGGCTGCACGATTTAAGCACTTTATTCCGAGCTGAATGAAATTAAAAAGATAAGAAATTTATCCAAACGGGCGAATAATTAAATTAATATTTTTGATCTCAAAGAAATTGTGCTTTGAATAAAAATGTGTAGGGAACCCGTTTGAAATGCTCATGTCACTCTTTGTACATCTGCTAAACTCCTCTATTTGCTTTATTCAACAAATGGGCTGGTCTTTTGTCAAATAAATCCCTTCTACAATGACCGTCGAAAAATCGTTTGTTTCACCATTTTTCTCGCAATCTCATTTAACATCTATATGACGTTCTAACCCAGCGTTTCCCAACCGTTTTTGTGCTATGCCCCACCTAAGCCTTTCTAAAATTCTTACGCACCCGCATCACATATACATATCTTTTAATATTCAAAATAGAAATGTTCACTAAAAAAATTTGAATAATAGGTTTTAGGAAGAAATCACTAGGAAATTATTGAGCAAACACAGTAAATGGAGAACGTAGCAAAACATATAATGGAGAACGAAAATTAAAGTTCAAAATAATTTTAATGAAAGATTTCTCTATATTATTTTAATAATTAATACTTATTTATTATTTATATTTAGTGAGGTCGTTGCGCTTAATGCTTGCTGCAAAGAGTTTTATGTAGGGTTCCAATTTAATTAGCTTCAGTCTCAAATCTCCCCGTTTTGTTAAATCAGCCTTTTTTCCAGCTAAATATGAAGATAAAGATTTCGGTTCCTTCAAGTTTTAATTTACTCATCATTTTGCATTTCCGCGAGTTCTTCTTCATACTGATGTTTGAAATATCAGACAAATCCACTAGCATAGGCTGCATCATCCAAGTGAGGAAATCAATTTATTTCAGATCGTAAAATCTTTTTTTTAATCAGCTGATAAAATTTCAAACTCTTACTTACTCTTTTTTCATAATTTTTCTTTAAAGTTGAAAGTAATTCAAATCTGAATTAATATGAGTTGATAATATAAAATTTGGATGTAAACCACAAAACAAAATTAATATCGTATAGCCCCAATGTAATATAACGTATATAAGACAAAAAAACATGGGAAACCGACTAAAAAAAAACCATAATAATGTCACAAAAAATATAAAAAAATAACACAGCCTTATCATGATATATTGACAGCAGTTCCCACAGATCAAATTCAAACTACATTAGATACATTTAATAGCTTTCACCCACGCCTACAATTTACACATGAAATCGAAAACAACAAAAAAATACCATTTTTAGATACACTCGTAATAAAACAACCAGATGGCACATTAATCACAGATTGGTATCAAAAACCAAGAAACACAGATCGCTACCTCAACTTTACATCTCACCATCCTCTTCATACAATAATAAACACGGCCAAAGGGTTACTTCACAGAATGATTACCCTAAGCCATGAATCCTTCCACCACAAAAACATAAAGATATACAAACAGATCCTCCATAACAGTCTCTACCCTAAACACATAATTAACAGAATAATCAACAATTACAACTCAACACTAACACCATCCACTATTACTAATAATACTACATTATGTCTATCGAATACAAACAAACCAGCATACATTTCCAAACATTTATCCAAGGCCTATCACATAAATTAAACACATTTCTCTTGTCCAATAACTTCAAGATAGCTTTCAAAAATTATAAAACAATTCAAACACTTTTTTCCAAAATTAAAGATCCCACACCAATAACAAATAAATTTGACTTAATCTACAAGATCAACTGTTTAAACTGTCCGGCAACTTACATCGGTCTTACATCCCAATATGTTGATAATAAGAGAATAAAGCAACATATCTATGATTGCAAAAAACCTAAGCAAAATCCTACAGCACTCGCTACCCACCATCTTGAACACCAACACAATTTCGACTTCAAAAATCCAAAAGTATTACACCCAGAACAAAACAAACATAAACGTAATTTCTTAGAAATGGTTTATATCAACAGAGATAAAAACAGCATCAATTACAGAACAGATACATGTAAACTCAGTCGCAGCTACGACAATATCATTAATCAAATTCAATACAGATAACATACCTATATCATTACATTACATTCCACACATCAAATATTTTTCACATAGTCTAATTCCCCAACAATTTAGCTTTCCTTTTCCTATTTATCCCTTTCTATGTAATCCTGAAAGGATAATCTGGCCGAACTATTACTAACACATTTTTTCCCTTCGTCCGCTCCTTTCACCTCAAAGCAGCCGACGCCTTATACAAAAATATCTTTTCTATACCGATATCCTTCCCCACCCCTTCAAAATCCAACGTATATAAACACAAAATAGCAAAATCTCACTGGCACTCTCGACACGACACACAAGAATGGCACAATTACACAGAAGACAAACACTTTGAGTGAGTAGAAAACTTTGATTGAATATAAAAATATATTTTGCATTGTATAAATTCACTTTTCCACATCCAAAATGTAATTGTTATATGTAAACAATGATGTTTGTAAATCCCAGGTCCTGAAGATGATCTCAATAAAGATCGAAACGTTGGCACGATAAAGAAAATGTTATTCTGAAACCTACATCACACCAGACCGCATCTCACGATTTCTAAATAAAATTAAAAAAATTATAAAAATAATGAGTCTTTAATGTATTCGGATAAAACAAGAAATACACAAATAAAAATAAAATAAAAAGCCAATGTTTAAATTTTGGCGCAAACTCTTAAAATAATATAGGCATTTAAAAAATTTCCTTCAAGTTAAATAAACATTATAAAAAATCTAAAATAAACTCAAATTATTTAAAAAATGGATACCAAAAATAGCATAAATACTCCAAAAATAGATTCATAAATAAAAAATAGTTTTAACATACCGGTATTTAAAAATAAAATAAAATAACTTTATACCATATTGGCCATGCAGCTTTTTTCCTTTTCTTTAAAATATCACTTAAAAACCATTCAAAATTGTATATAAATAAACTTAAATTAGAGATGCAAAATGGTCACATATGTTTTAAAAGAAACTATACACAGTGAAAATTTCAAATTTTTATTTAAAAAAAGTCAAGGTAAGCTTTATAATTAAATGTGATCCACTTTAATCCTTTAGAAATGTAGATGCAGATGATGGGTGCAAATTTCAGAAACATCCACAAACTTTCATATAAATATAAGGCGGAAAATTAACAAAAACTTAGAAAAGTTTTTTTGTTAAAAAACCCCACAAACTATAAGTATAAAAAAGACAACGTCTTTAAAAAAAACGTTGCATATAAGAAAAGTTATAATAATTATTACATTCCTTAACTGATTGCCCATTAATGCTTAACCAAATTAGCTTTCATGTTCCATGTTATAATCTCTGAAGTCAAATAACATTTTCTATGAATTGCCATATAACTAATTATGCCAAATTTCGTTTTATAGCAAGAACAACCAATATGTTAAACTCGTTCGAAAACGTTTTAATTTAACTAAATTTCATCATTAAAAAATTTAATATTGTATCATTAATATTAATTAGATATTAAACCATAAGTTTTTAGCGGTACACAATTGACCACATTAATTATTTCATTTAATAATTAATTGACCATATTAATTATTTCGTTTAATTACTCTTTTGATCTATGGTCTTGGTTGAGATGAAAAAATTAGAGTTATGATAGCTCAAGTGGTTAGATCAGCGGCGTGTTGAGCCGAAGGGGTCGATTCGTATCCAGTTCGTGACACTACCTTTTTTTCTCAACCAAGACCATAAATAAAAAGAACAATTAATTGAATTAATTAGATAGTTTTAATACAGATTTTAAACTGTTTCAATTCATTTTTTAGTTCTTCTTTTATTGTAAATATTTCTAAATTTATGTATAGTTATAACTTTTATTCCTATATTGTATACATTTGTAATTGGAAAACCGAAAAATAAATTTAAAAAATTTTCTGACAGTGAATGAGGTAATATTCTGACTCCTTCTCAATTCGTCTGTTATCACAATTTTGAAACATTGGGCAGATGGGGGCGGGAGCGGTTCGCTTTCCTTTTATCTTTCCGTTCTGACAACTTCAATAATTGCCTATTGATACACTCGGAACAATATCCCATTTCAAACAACTCTACGTATATTTACATATTCATTGTCTTTTAACCGACAAAAGGCGAAAATGTGCAAAATTACCTATTGAACAGTGTGATGTCGGGTTGCCACAGTTCGTGATCAGCGAGATAGAGCATTGTGAGCCCTTTGTACTCAGTTTCGTTCCATTTGAGCTTTTCGTCGTGCCAAACCTGAAACATATTACCATTTATCCTATGCGAACTAGCTGCTGAACAGCGCAAGGCCCGCATTTACATTTTCCCTGGTCCCTCACCATTTTCAACCAGCCGTGGACGGTCAACATGAACCTTTTGTCATCCTGAAACAACGGGTTTTATATTATTAAGTTTATTTGCGCTACTGGTGAATGCAGGATGTACTGGGAGAAATCAAAGGACGCCCGTATCTAATCAGCCTTATCCTCGTTCGTATCCGTCACAGGTTTAGAAAACGTGGATCGGCTCGACTCTCTTACTGTTGATAATAATAACGCTTTGTTTATTCTAGATAATCTATAATCACCTAATACAATGTTTTTTCCATGTACAGAAAAAATCTCAGCTTCTTTCTTTAGTAGTAAATGTCAACTATCAACCGTCATCAGCCATCTTCGAGAAAATAACAACTGATACAACTTCTTGGCATGGCTGTAAGAAAAATATAACAACGTAATTTTGATAATGGGGTCTGTGTTAACACTGTAACTCTGTTAGATCGTAAATGATGACGTAGACTTGTAAGAAACGGCTAGTTAACATTGATCGATCTAACAGGCCAGAGCCAATGTTAAGTGCTAGCAATTAATTAAGGTTTTTAGTTGAGATAAAAACTCAGTGTCACGAGCGGGATTCGAACCCAAGATCTTCTGCTAGATACGCCGCTGCTCTACCACTTAAACTATCGTGACCTCGATCCACTCGGACACTAACTTCCCATCTCAACCCCACCTTTTGAATTTTTCCTCTTTTTTGCCCTTTTTCAAATGTCGTGTGATCTATTTGATTTGAACGCCACGAGAGTGAAACTGATTTTTTTTATCTCAACTAAAAACCTTAATTAATTGAAAGATATTAATTGGTCAAACGGACCACGAAACTACTGAATTTAATAAGTTTAAGTGAAGTATACTTTAACTAAAGTTCTCCGTGGCCATTTCATTTTTCGCCGAGAATCAAATTGATTGCACAAACTTTTAAAAATGGCAAAAAGGAAGGAAAATTCAAAAGGTGGTGTTGAGATGGGAAGTTAGTGTCCGATTGGATCGAGGTCGCAATAGCTCAAGTGGTAGAGCAGCGGTGTATCTAGCAGAAGATCGTGGGTTCGAATCCTGTTCGTGTCACTAACTTTTTTTATCTCATCTAAAAACCTTAATTAATTGAAAGATATTAATTGGTCAAGCGGACCACGAAACTAATGAAGTTAGGTGCTAGGTCGAAAATATAGTCACCTTGCTATCCGTTAGGACGTAGGATCCCAACATGGCAGCCATGAATTTGACAGTTGTTTTGTGTTTACACGTATTTTTATTCTCGAATATGCATTAATTAAATCAGACCAATACATTTCTTTTCTTAATTTCTGACCTGTTCTGATACTCTCATTCGTAATAGATACATCCCCTAACGAAAGTAGTAGACTGTTTGATATTAGGATACAAAGTACGTATGTCGGCACGAACTGTAGCGCGTCATTTGATAGTACTTTAGAGTGCGTAGATAGCTTGATTAAAAGAGGATTAATTTTCCTTTTTAGTTAACATCTGGGATCTTACAATTTAACCATAACAAACAACTAGCCTTCATGGACTATTATAGCTTTATTTTTGGTTCTACCAGTCGCCACGCGCAGCATTGCGGAAAAATTAACAAAATAAAAAAATGGCATAAGGAGAGAAAACCCGAGTGTCCGAGTGGATCGAAGTCACGATAGCTCAAGTGGTAGAGCAGCGGCGTATCTAGCCGAAGATCGTGGGTTCGAATCCCGCTCGTGCCATTGACTTTTTTATCTCAACTAAAAACCTTAATTAATTATAATATATTAATTGGTCAAGCGGTCCACGATATTAGTAAATTTAAGTTTTATACAATGATTATTTGGAGATCTTGAGATGCGGTCTGGCGTGACGTAGGTTCAGAAAAACATTTTCTAAATAATCAATCAATCGATCTAAAATAATCATTAATTAACGGTCCATTAACCACACATTTTTATACAATTATGTCTTAATAGAAGGAGGATATCATTAGAATCAGTTTTTTTTAAAGAAACCAATTGAACTAAACCTTTATTGAGCCAATCAAATGTTTACAGTTTTCAACAAAAGAGTATTAATTATCTATTAACCTAATTGAATTAACCCGTCCCCTGGAATTTTTGTACACCCTATTAGTACAGATTATGAGGTTTGAATACTATCTGTACAATAATATTTAATAGTTTTATCTCTATTATCGCAAATGTAAACAACACAAAACGGAAAAGATGGAGGAATATTTCGTTTATTTAAACTTCAATTATATTTTGTTATCCTATTGGAAAGTTAAAATTTTAAAGTTTAAATTCAGACCGATCGCACAATTAAACACGGAAACTTGAATAAATTTTAGTTAGTTTCGAACATCTACTGACAATTACATAATGACACAAATACGTCGAATCTTACTTTTAAAAGTTCTCTATTTTTTACGGTCTTAGAATATTCATGGTGTATCATCTTCTATAGTTCACCCATTTAATTCGGAAATAGCATTAGCAAAAAGTGGTCTGGATCGACCATTTCTGAGTTATTCCCGACGCAAGAGGCGTGAGGGGGTATGCTTTTTGTAACAAGATGGCCCACCCCCTTTATCTCGAAAACGATTACCTTTATAAAAAAAAAATAGTCTTATACAAATCCTAATTTAATTTGAGCAGGAATCGCGTGGAGGTAGCAGATTTAACATAATTTTCTCATCTAGCCGGGAAATGAAACTAACATTGTTATTTTATATAAAAATCCCATGTTTTTATTGCACAATTCGATTCTAGAGCTTATTTTATACCACTTTTACTGAAAGGAAAATTTTGATAGGATTGATTATTTCTGAGATACGCCCGACGGAAGACGCGTGAAGGGGTATGCGTTTTGTAACAACTTGGCCTTTTCGATTATTTCTGGGAAGCTTTCTCTCCAAGCCACAATAATCCGTTGTTCCCATTCTTGGACAGTCATTGCTGGAGATGGATTGGCATACACTCGATTCTTCCCCCTCCCAAAGAAAACAAACACAGGGGTCAAATCTGGCGACCTCGGAGGCCACGAAATACAACCTTGTGTGCCAATCCATCTCCGGTATTGATTGTCCAAGAATTGTACGATAAAAATATGGGATTAACAAAGTTAGTGTCATTTCGCAGCTAGGTGAGAAAATTATGAAAATCGGTTACCACCACGCGATGCTTACCCAATATTAACATGGGGTTTCTATAAGGTCATTTTTTGCTAAAATTAATCGTTTCTGAATTTAATGACTGTATGATAGAAGTTGATACACCCTGTATAATGAAGCACTATTTTATATTTTCGAAAAGAAAAGAAACTAGGATATACTAATACGATTTCTAAAAATGCACAGCGGAGGAAAACTGAGAACAAAATAATCTTATTCAAAGGATGATAAACACAATATCAGGAGAACAGATGGATTTGTAAACTTTCAGTTGTCTTTATTCTTGTGGGATTTTGCCCTGTCGTGTTATGGTGGTTTCTATAGGTTGATGTGGTGTTTTTCAAAGTGAAGGTTGTTTTGTTGAGAATCTAAGGAATTTAACGTACAATTTATCAAGGCAAAAAGCCATTACATTAACAGTTGCATTAAGTTACTTGTGTAACAAAAATAAAATTGACGATTTTTTTCTTGCTTCAGAACTGAGCTGATTGTCCATAAAATTTAGGATCAAAAAATCCTCGGAAATACCAAAACACTCCAGCCCGCCAGCGGACATCTCGATCCTTTTCTTCTTAACATCTTTGGAACAGCCATAAACAATAAAACTAGATTGGGAAATATTTCATGAAATCAGAAACTATACCAGTGCCTGTATGTGTGCCTTGCCTTCTTCAATTTGATAGGTCTGACCCTCTTATTAACCATATAGACCATGTATGTCCCCCACGGACCCTCTAGGTTACGTTGTGTATCGCGGAAAATTCCAAGGGCTATGGGGATTTGAACCCTGAATCGGTAGCGTGGCAAATAAGAGGTGGACGCTCAAAACACCCGGCAATTACTGTTTCCGATTTTCTAATCTACAATTTTCTACTTGGAAGGTACAGAGATGACTAGCATCGCCCTTGATTAAGAAATTTATAGTTTTTGTTTTTTGTTAGATTTTTATTTGAAGATTATAATGTTTCCCTGATTAGTTTAAATTCCATTTTATCAATTCGGTTTCCTATGACATTACTCTACAGCACGTGCCGCAGGGAGGTTGATATATCATGTCCTAGCTAGAGCGGAAAATTGCTGGTAGGGTGCTTTCTACGATGTTAGGCAAGTCTTCGATCACGCGTGGCAACCTGTCTTGTTCTGTAAACGTAAGGCATCATTCCATTGACTTCACTACCTCACCGTAGCAGGTCACATCTTTCTGTTAGGTAGTTTTAAGTACGAATCGAAGCATCTACCTCCTCCATCTACTGTGCCGAAGCGGGTGTTCTGCAAGGCAACATCCTTGGTCCGATTCTTTATTAAGTATATTTGTATTTGGAAGAAAGGCCACGATTTCATGAAATAGAAGATCAGACTCAACGAAAATCTCAGCAAATAACCTTTACCTTTGCCAAATCATCTTTCATCCAATTTACTGCATCGCTGCTCTCCCACAACCAAAGTCGACCGATATTTTGGGACTTTTCATCGACAAAATAAACTACTCAAATGGCTTGAGAAATGATTAAAACTCTCACTGCAAAACGAACTCCTCATTACTACAACCAATCTGATCGCTCGGAATCAACCAAGCGTTCCAACCTTCACAAAATCCAGTCATTCCGGTTAAAATACCGTCGAACCATTGCCCAACCTCCTTAATTAGTATCAACATTGTCCTCGAAACCTCAACGTGTCGATAGAGATGCCTCCATAAAACCCTGAAACCTTATCCTAAACCACAAACAACCACCTTTCATCCCGACCAATCTGTCTAAAGCACCAATGGCTTCGCGACTTTTTCCCCAGTGAGGAAGTGAACAGTGCTAGGATAAGTATAAGTTCAAACATTTTATAAAAACACAAAAAATTATCTTTCTATCAAATAAGTTTATTTATCTTTAAAATCTTCGGTTGTCTAACCTCATATTCCTGAAATACAAAGTTTTCGCCCCACTGATTTTGAAAACCCTCTTTTCAAAAATCATTTGAATTACATTCAGTACATCGATTGTCACCGAATGTAACAATACATTGTCATTATATTTACCACATGAACGTATCTGACGGTGATAGCTAAGTCGACGTTCGTGGTATCGCTGTGCTGAGCAGGTCTGGCGAACTTGTCGTACCCTTGGAAAAGATCCCGCTTAAGGAGGTCCGTCATGGTCGCGTTCCAAATAGGACCTTTACCTAGAAAAAAACAACACTTTTACTACCAACATTTAGCGAGTTTTCTATCCTTGTAGGTTCAGTTTCGTTGTTTTGTTTATCAGGAATCCACTAATCCATCAAACCAAAGTAGCGAGACTAAATGGGAAACGACCTGTTTACAGATTAATCTTGAGAAAATACACAAAATATATTTGGTTCAATATCTACTACAATAAAAAATGAATATCTTCAGGATTTTTTCGCTCTTCTATTGGAAATTTACAACTGTAAAATTAAGTACAACAAGCAAATCATTGACTTCGTTGACGAAATCATTGACTTATACTTTTCAGTGGAGAAGTTGCAATGTAGTCTCCCCGCTGAAAATTCATGTAGGCTCATTTGTTACTCGTTATCAGATCACGGAACTACCGGTATTTTAGTCAGTGTTGGCTGCTAGGCAGTTACGCTAAGAAAAGGTAGTTGAATAAGGGATTGGGATGACCAGGATTATTGAGGTTGGTTCGTATCAATCTATTATGAGGATTCTACGTGAGACGTATGTCCATAACTAATCGGTAGTAGCGAACACGGATTATAGGTTAGAGGAACAATGTTGAGGAGGGTTACTGAGGAATATCCAGGATTTAAATGTCTTATACCAGGATTCGATGGCGATTAGGTTCGGAGGCGATAGGTATGAGAGGCGCATATGCGCTACCGGTATGACGACTAGATGATTCAGACTCCCCTCTTCATCTCTTCTCGATCCTCGCCCAAACGGTTCAAAGACATAGATGTTTGATTCTGTCACATTTTTATAAAAGACGAGTTAGAAGCTGTAGCTCTTTGGCATAATTAGACGAAAAACAAGTAAAACTTTGTCGTTATTAAACATGTCACTTCTATCTAAGGGATGTGGTCGTCTTGGTGAACGGTACCATTGGGCACATAGAAGGGAGCATTCGCAATACAGCGTAGTTCACTAGATTTCGTGGTCCGCTTAACCAATTAATATCATTCAATTAATTAAGGATTTTAGTTGAGATAAAAGAAGTCAGTGTCACGAGCGGGATTCGAATCCACGACATTTGTCGCCGAGTATCAAATAGACTATTCGAATTTGAAAAATTGCAAAAAGGAGGGAAAGTTCAAAAGGTATGGCTGAGATGGGAAGTTAGTGTCCGAGTGGATCGAAGTCACGATAGCTCAAGTGGTAGAACAGGGGCGTATCTAGCCGAAGGTCGTGGGTTCGAATCCCGCTCGTGACACTATCTTTTTTATCTCAACTAAAAACCTTAATTAATTGAAAGATATTAATTGGTCAAGTGGACCACGACACGTAATAAAATATATAATTTTTTTTTTCTATTTGGAAATGAATTTTGTAGTTTAGGGTGTTGCCTTAAGAAGGAAAAGCAATAAAGTAAAAGGAATAATAATACATATTCTGTGATTTAAACTGTATTTAAGGCCTTAAAACAACTTTGAATTGGGAATTGAATGCACAAATGAACTAACCGATTTACAAGCTATTTGTCTGGTTGGCATGACGTCCTTGTCTCTGTTGTTTTTAACTCTGATGATGTGTTTGGCGTAAATAAACATGCAGTTGGTATCTCTTAATTAAATTCATTTCAATTTAATTTGAACAAGCCATTCCTCCATGCTATATTTTTATAAATTTCAATTTTACGAAAACTTATTTCATTGCTTCGGTTAAAGTGAAAAATAAATAAAACTAAAATGGCTTATAAAAAAATATTATTATAGGTTTTTAACATGGAGTTAAAACATATTGATAAAGTGACCTGTTGACCTGTGATCTGTTAACCTGTCCCTATATATATGATTGTTATACGATTAATAATTAAATTGAAAAGAAGACAAATTTAGAATTATTTAAATTGGAAAATTCAAAGAAAAGTTAACCAAATACTTAATTAAAGATTAATTAATTGCAAAGAATTTATTTGATCAATCGGACCACGAAACTTAATAAATGTAATAAGCAAAGTGAAGTGTACTTCACTAAAAGCTCTTCGTGGCCATTTCATTTGTCGCCGAGAATCAAATTGATGACAGGACATTTGAAAAATGGCAAAAAGGAGGGAAAATTCAAAAAGTGTGGTTGAGATGGGAAGTTGTCCGGAGGATCGAAGTCACGATAGCTCAAGTGGTAGAGCAGCGGCGTATCTAGCCGAAGGTCGTGGGTTCGAATCCCGCTCGTGACACTGACTTTTTTATCTCAACTANACGACATTTGCAAAATGGCAAAAAGGAGTGAAAATCTAAAGGTGTGGTTGGGATGGGAAGTTGGTGTCCGAGTGAATCGAAGTCACGATAGCTCAAGTGGTAGAGCAGCGGCGTATCTAGCCGAAGGTCGTGGGTTCGAATCCCGCTCGTGACACTGACTTTTTTATCTCAACCTAAACCTTAATTAAAGATTAACTAATTGAAAAGAATTTATTTGGTCAATCGGACCACGAAACCTAATAGATGTAAAATGATTAGTGTCGTTCAGTTCAAAAAGTGTTCACAGTCTCGTATACTACCACCACAATCTTCTATACAACTAACTTGAAAATGATTTTTAAGTGTTAAAAAAAATTAAATTAATAATATAATATATATAATAATTATTAATATAAAATTCGTGCAAAGAATACAATTGCACGGAGTAAGCGTCCTTTTAGCATAGAAGCAAAAGTGAAATTTAAACAACTAGAGTCTCGTTTGGCTCATCCCGGCGGTGGCCAAATATAAATATTAAATTGGATGGGATGTGGGAGATCTGACAAAAGGGTTTATACCATAGACAGAGATAGATGCCTTCATTGTTGATAATAGGGGCTCAAAGGAAGTTCTAATCTTCCCTCCACCCTCCGCTCCATTCGTAACTCTTTTTCCACGTTTGGATATTTTCCACAGTGTAAACACACCTCAGTAGGACAGATTTGAAATCCTAACTGGAAAATACTTTGGAAAATAAAATTATATCGAAAACTTTCCGAAGGCAGGTTCAGTTTGTCCGAGTCGAAGAAAGAACACCAACTTCCAATTGTATTGCCGACTTTTGTTGTTACAATGGGCAAACGTCGACTAATTGCACCACATCCTCCATGAAGCACCACAAAACCCTCCATTCATCTCATAAACATGTAACTTTAAGTCCTGCAACTACCTTGATGACAACGATTATAATTTGAAAATTTACACTTTTTTTATGTCTCCTGTTATGATTTTTTTTAAATAGCATTAGACTAGGAAAAACGATATCTCCAAATTTATTAAATTTGGTTTCCGGACTTGTAAACCTCACATTTAGCTGATTTATCGAACTAAGCAATGGTACTCTTAAATTTTGTTTTGGGAAAATTTGCGCTTTTTGGATTTTTTGGGCTTAATTCTACGAATTGGGAATTGAATGCACAAATGAACTAACCGATTTACAAGCTATTTGTCTGGTTGATATGACATCCTTGACTCTATTGTTTTTGTCTCTGATGATGATGTGTTTGGTGTATTTAAACATGCAGTTAGTGTTTGTTAATTCAATTCATTTCAATTTAATTTGAACAAGAAATTCTTCCATGCTATATTTTTATAGATTTCAATTTTACGAAAACCTGTTTCATTTTTTCGGTTACAGTGAAAAAATAAATAAATAAACTAAAATGGCTTAAAAAAATATATTATTATAGTTTTTTTAAAATGGAGTTAAGACATATTGATAAAGTGACCATTATCTGTTAACAATCGCTATATATATGATTATTATTCGATTAATAATTAAATTGAAAAGAAGACAAATTTAGAATTATTTATAATATAATAGTTTTTCCTTTGATTTAAAGAAGTTTAGGACATTTTGTTTTGTTGAAGTTTTGTAAATTGAAACAGTTCTTACAAAATTACATAATTTAGGCTTTTTAAATGTAATTTTTCGAAACTTTTGAGTTATTTACGGCTCTTTTTTGAGTATTTAGCTTATTGATTTTCCAGTCTCATTGTAGGTACATTATCTGTATTATTATTACTACTCATATGGTAATACGTACACGTATTGTCTAACAAGATATTAAGTCGAAAAATATTAGTCACGTGTCCGAGGGTTCTTGCTAATGGGTTCCAGGAGGAAAGAAAAAATTGAAGATATTAATTTATAATGTAGTTTTCTGCCTTTATTTTTCAAGGATTTCAAAGTGATTATTCATATAAGTTGATGTTTTAGTTACGTAGCATAAGAAAATATTACACAAGATTGTATTAAATGAGATTAGATACATTAAAAATTACAAAAACCAACACCCTTACAGAAAAGTAGGGCAACGCATTTATTTATTTATTTTTGAGGGGGATTAACCTCCTTCAATACGAATAATACAATTTTTCATATCAAACAAAATATAAAGATTTTTAAGTTCAATTAGCCAGGGGCAATTTTTTTAATCTCCGAAGCCCAGTGTTCAATTTAAAAATTTCTCTACTCCTCTGTATTTTATCCAAAATCAATATTATTACAACCGTTAGACGACTGAATTTCTCTTCTTTCAATTATCTCAAAAATGTTGTTATCTCAACAAACTTTAACTTTTATTTCATTAAACGTAAGAGAGAAACGAACAAAAACTCCTCAAAAGTTTTATTTTAAATCGCCGGTTATAATTTATTTACGAAGTACAAGTTTAGGCTGTAGTTCAGTGTGTTCCAAACCTATAAATTTATATCCTGTAGAACAGTGAGGTTATTTCGATCAGAAGTTTTGAGGTTTTTGAATATAAATGGACTGCATTAGAAGGGGAAAAGTTAAAAAAAAAATTTTGTTTTGCCCAAATTTTTTAATTTAGGGATTTTTTAGAGTGAAAAATCAAACAAATACAACTTGGTTTTTTGGTAAAAAAAAATTGTTAACCTACTTTGCTACGAAATTTGGTCATAAATTGTGTACTTCAATATCTATTATATCTACGCAAGCAGAAAAATACAATTTTGACGTAAATTATTCCTGAAATCAAAATAATGAGAAATTTTAAAACAATTTCTAAAATTTTTCGTTTGTCAAATAAGTTCCTCCGACTTGTTCCGAAAATCATACAAATATCGGCACAACGTTGAAACAGACTCTACCAATCTTCATGAAGATTTACTGCGGCTTAGAATCCTACAAATTAGATCCAATTTCGAAAACAGAAATAATTTAGAACTGGTGATATAAAATAAAACGTTTAGGAATTTATAGTTGGATTCTTCCTCATTCTTCCCACATGGGCATGAAAACCAAAGGTGTTGTTACTTCCTCATAGAAGAGAAATGTAGTTTTACAACCTTATAGTACTGCGGACGTTAGATAAAAACCGGAGGTGTTACGAATTATTAAGTGGAACGATGGAAATTCGAGTAAAAACTTCCTCCGGGTGATCCAGCCCAAAAATATCTTGTTTATCATACAAATCGTATTTAAGGACTTCAAAGAGTTCTCAAAGGTAAGAAATTTAGTTAAAATTTTTTTTTTGGAACAAGGGACAAAGTACTTATACGTTTTTTGGTAAACAATAACATTGAAATGGATACACAGCTAAGACAGAAAAACATGTTTAAAAATTTATAAATTACTTAAAATTTTTTTTCTTTCCTCCCGGGACCGTTGGCAAGAATGCTCGAACAGGGCTAATATTTTTCAACCGTTTACCAACAAATACAGATGCATTAAAATTTATGAATAAATTATTTTTTATTTGATTTTTCTTTTTATCCTATGTAAAAAAAATTAAATGTATAAATAATTTTACGTAGATTTTTAAAATTATAAGTGGTGCAAAATTTACATTTATTTTAGGTTTTTCATAATTTAAACAAGTTAATGATTGCATGCTGTATGATTGTAAATTAAATTATAATTATTTGGGTTTGAAATATACGCTTTTGAAAATCGTATGTTGGTTTTTACCTAGTCTTACTACATAAACGTTGTTTATCTGCATTTATTTCTATTATTATTTATTGTTAGGTTATAGATATTTAGTCCACGGCAATAGCAGCTTTTGAAATTTAAAATAAATTACCGGCAGGCCGCGAGAATCACCCCGGTTAGCAGACCTTGGCCTTTTCCGTCCAGCCGCAGAGGACGCTCCGGGGACTGTCAACAGTTAGGTCATTTCACCCCTCAACACAATCAGTTCCTAAATTCAAACCGTCGTTGCTGAAGTGGTAAGACAGCGGTGTATTGAGCCGAAGGTCGTGTGTTCGAATCCCCCTCCTGACACTAACTTTTTCATCTCAAACCTTTAGATAAAAGGTGTAATTGATTGAAATAATTAAATAGGTCAATTATGACCGCTAACCATATGCGGATATCGTGTACTATTCGCTGGAGGAATAGTACCGTATAAATAATACACGTGGGAAATTTTTACGATTAAGAATGAAAACTATGTATTTAAATTTTTGATTGTTTACCTTGATTCTCCACTGTTGAAGTCAGGATTCAAGCATATCGGATTGGAGGTTGGGGTACAAGTAATAGGATGTTTGGAGATGATAATCGACGTGTCATCGGCGTATGTGAAGGTTAGGGTGTCGGAATGTAATAGCTCAGCTGTAAAGGAGTAAGGTAATGGAGCAAGTGTGTTTCCATGGGGGACGCCGGCTAAAATGGGAAAAATAGAAGAGAAAGAAGTACCTTGGGAAATACTCGGAGTATTGGTTTGTTAGGAAGGAGTATAAGGCGACGATCAAAGACCTGGGATATTTCAAGGAAAACATCAGGACAGAATTGCTTAAGCTCGAGGGAGGTGACGATGGTGTCGACAAGCTGGGGTTGCTGAATACTCGAGAGGGAGCCGCGAAATCCGGATTGGATATTGAGTTTTGAAGATGTTATTTCTGTTAAGGGTTCGGTGATGGTATTTAGGCGATGAAGAAGAAGCTTTTCACGTACTTTGCCGAGGATAGGAAGAAGGCTAATAGGACGATCCGAAGAGGAGGTAAGTAAGTTGTTTTAGGTTTAGGTGCCTTTCGTTCGGAGGAGAACCAAAGAAGAAGTAGGTAGTTCTAAGAACACCATTGTAGAGGGTTGTAATAAATACAATTTCTTGTTGGGAGGTTGTTGAAGGATATTAGGGTTCACGAAATCAGAACCAGAACTTTTATTTTTCGGGAAGTTAATTATGATCGGACTGACTTCTTTGGGAGTAAACGTCTTAGGAGGGAGTGAGAGTAATAAGGGAGATATTTAATTCTTCATTAACTGTATCAGTAAAGGGTTGATCTTGGAACTAAGGATGAGGGGTGAATACTATGGAAAGGTACTGTGCCCGGAATTTTTTTCTTCAGCTTTCTCCACGTTGGTTTTTTTGTCCAATTGCCATCAGTGCGTTGAATTGGGTGGGAATAGTATATGTATTTTAATAATTGTGTACTTGCTGTCTAGAAAGAGTTGTCCTTTGCGGTAAGTGTTTGTGTATAAGTGAAATACTGGTCGTTGTAATTCTTGTTTAGTACGTACATGAGATATCTCGTTAGTTGGTTGAATATTATCTTGTGGGGGGGGGGTATCTGGTGCGTTGCAAAAGGCTTCTGGCGCGACGTTTACGAGTGATTGTCTTATCTATAGAGGCAGGTTGTACGTCATTGGCGGTGGTCTGTTCGGTGTCATATGTTTCGTGGCTTGCCATATTCCCTGTTCCATAGAGTCAGTTAAATAATGCACAGTATCGTCAATTTGTTCTGTTTTGGGGTGCATTCAAGTTTAGTCGCTTTCAAGTATGCCTCCAAATAAGTTCCAGTCGACAGGTCCGTTTATAAGGGTCGAGTCGACACTTGTTTTGGATGGATGTCAAGGATTAATCGTTTAGGGTGAAACAGTCAGTGTTTAATGAGGATATGTTGGAACAGACGAAGAAAACAAGCAGATCGGGTAATTTATTTAGGGAAGATGGTCAATAGGTTGGATGAGAGGAAATGTGGAAGTAATTAGTTTGTCAAAGGATGTTTTGAAGGAACCATGCGAGGATTATCCACTCGGCTACCCCAACTTGGGTGCTCCGCCTTGATGTCACCACCGCAAATGAACCGCGAACCAAGGGAAGAGAAGAATGAGAAGAATTGACTATGATGATGTGGTGGATAATATACAGCTCCAAATGTATAGTATAATGACTCCAACAATAGAGAAATCACAGTAGCTTGAAGGTAGGGAACTGCGTTTTAAGGGAATATGAAATGAGAAAAGGATGGGGTGACTGGCGATTAGTGTCGAAAATTTCAGTAGATGTTTCTACTCAGTATATGCGACACAAACTTCCTATCAACCTCTGTCCAAATCTCAACGATAAAGAAGTAATTCCAGGTTTTGATTATTTTTTTTCGGCGAAGGTCCACTAAATAGCTTATAAACTTCAGAATTACTGACTGTAGAAAAATTTGGTTTGTGCCACCTGAAAGAACGTTAAATTTGCTGTGTGGTGTTTGGTGACCTTTAGTTAATGATTATTTGGAAATCATGAAATGCGGTCTGGTGTGACGTAGGTTCTTCTCATCAGGTTGTTCACATCTCTCAATATGACACACAAGAATGACACATCTACACGGAAAACACTTTGAGCCCTGAAGATGATCTCAATAAAGATCGAAACGTTGACACGATAATGAAAATGTATTTCTAAAACCTACGTCACACTAGACCGCATTTCACGATTTCCAAATAATTGTTCAATTTACTGTAAGAAAACTTTATTTACATTGCAGAATCAACCTGATTCAAATTTTCACGAAAAAGACAGAAAAAACAAAAATGTTGAAATTAGGAATGTTTTGAAAATGTTGGATTGGTAACTGTTAACAACTACAAACTCTTGGAACTTTACAAATTCCCTCAAAAGTTCCCCACTCTATTAGCTTCCAGCGGTATACCCAACTTTTTGGATTTCACTTCTGGAAGGCACAAAATCCAAAAAGGTCGGTATACCGCTAGAAAATAAATGAATGGAGAACTTTTGAGGGAATTTGCAAAGCTCCACGAGTTTGTATTTATTAACAGTTACCAATCCAACATTTTCAAAAAATTCCAAATTTCAACATTTTTGTTTTTTCTCAATTTGTCTTGTAGAACTTTTCCATCAATTCTGGAATGTAAATAAGTTTTCTTACAGCAAATTTAACGTTATTTTAGGTCGCACAAGCCAGGCTTTTCTACAGACAATAATTCTTTAGTTTATAAGCAATTTAGTGGACCTAAGTCTGAAAAAAAAAACCAAAACCTGAAATTAATTCTTTACCGTTGAGATTTGGACAGGGGTTTACAGGAAGTGTTTTGTTGTATACAGTGAGTAGAAACACCTCCTGAAATTTTCGACACTATCGTCAGTCTCCCCATATTTATAACTGACAGGGAAAAATTCCGCCCACTTGTAATATAACTTGATATGTATATTTTTTATATATTAATCAAAGTTTCACTTTTTTAACGTTTAATAATTGATTGTTTGTCTAAAACAGTTTAAAAAAAAGTAAGTTGGTAATGAAAATGAAAAAAAGATGGACAGAGAAAATTTGTTTTAGATTTTTAATTAACATTTCAATTTTGCATATTTCTTCCTCTTGCCTTAATTTCTCTCGATGACACCTCAGCATATTTTCTACCCGTCTGGAATGTCTCTTTGCAGGAGGTTAGCCCATTCTTCACGAAGAGTCTTTCAAGATCGTGGAATGTATCAAGAAGTGATTCGTCATACCTCATAGGTTATCTCATAAATGTTCGATGGGGTTCAGGTCTGGTGAACGGGCTGGCCAGGCTAAACCCTTGTTTTTTGCAGTTGAAGGTACGTTTGTATATGCTAGTGACATGTGGACGAGCATTATCGTGCATTAGAATAAGATTATCGCTGATTTTGTCGAGGACAGCATAGCAAGAGCAACGCATGATGTTCCAAAATTTCATCCACTTAGCGCGTGGCCGTCAAAGACCCTCCACGAACATCAACCAACTCTGTTTTACTATCCATTGAAATTCCGACCACACCATCACTGAGATACGTTTGGTTCTGGAAAAAATTACACGGTTCGTCCCTTTCATTTCGCTTTCTCCACACTCTTTCCACCTATCTGGAGATCGTAGAGCAAATCTACACTCATCTGTAAAAACTACATCAGACCAATCGTATAAAGACCAATGGTTGTGCTATAGCAAATGGGAGCCGTGCAACTCTGTGGGTTCCGGGCAGTTCTGGTCTTCTTCCGGGGCAAAAAGCCTCAGTTCAAAATGATTTAATCTTCTTCGAGGAGTTCAGAAATTGGGACACCTCGAACGTCCTAGAGCTGATGAATCGCTTGAACAACAGTAAGCAGTTTGTTACATATGTCATTGTATAAGTCAAAAAGATTTTTATATAAATCCAAATCGAAAAGCCTTTTGATTTACCCTGCACCATTACATTTGGCACAAGAAAAAAAAATGTTGCTGTAGCAATTATGTTAGTGATCTTAGAACATTTGAATTATTCACCTCCAAACTAAGACATGCCTCTTACGGAGCGGATTGTTTGTTCGCAACAAGTGCAAAATTTAAAGATTCGACTCAATTGCAGTTTCGAAAGCGAAATGGTTTTGTAAAGGATAAAAATGACGGACACAATAGGATAATTCAATTCGTTGTTTAGTTCGAGAAGGAGCTTAAGTGGCTGAAATGGCTCAAGTGTTCTACGTGGCGCCCATAAAGGTTTCACACATTGCTTACTCTTCAAGGAATATTATTAAACGCTACCAAATAAGAAAAATAATTTTCCACCCATAAGAATATAAAGCAAACAGAAATTTTTAATCGATTGTTTTGAAAGTATTCCGTGGAGAGTTAATCAAACAATGAAAGCTTTGATGATTGGGAAGATCACAGGAACAGCACAACTTTGACCAAACTCCGCCCGTTCCAAATTACAAAATAAATTAATTAGTTTCTGTTGTTATCTTACAACAGTAACGTATTGATTACAACTTTATTTATATTTTGATATAAAATGGCTATTTATATTACCTACACACCTTTCTGTATTTTCCAAAGGACCGACAATAAAACAGGGTATCTTGTTCATGATCATTTTACTTATTACTTCATAATCTGTTTAATAACACGGGAAGTTGTTATGTACAGTTTTTATGTCGGGTTTGTACACTATTGGCAAATTAATTGGCGACACTTTTCATATCTTCAATTTTTCTTGTTTGAGCTCTTTCTTAAATAATTGTAAAACGGAATAATAAGTCAGATGTTGAAAAATAACATTAATTTTCATAGAAAGAACTTTCATTTCATAATAATATTAATTTGCATTGGTTGTTTTGGTAGTGTATTGACTTTGAAATCAAATTAAAACCGAAATTGGTTGAAAAGAATTTTCGATATTGCTCTTAATTGTGGGTACTCGAATTTTTAAATTAACTGAAAAGGTCTTGTGTGAAAAAGATCATGAATATTTTATCGAGCTGACAAAATTTCGTTTCGGCCCCTACCAGCCTTACAGTCAAATAATTCAGTCAAATCATATTAACTTGTTAACTTTACTTGTTACAAACAAAACGTGTTGATAAAATCGCGCAGTATACCGGACAATGTTCCCTTCCTTTTGTTTCTCAGTTCAATATTAACTGATTTATCAAACATCAATTTCAAAAAATTGAAATGTAACAAAGTAAACATATTGATATTGACCTTATTTTTATCACTTACCTGTATACCAATCTACTATAATGTGTGAGGTGCAGTGAAAGGGGTAAAAGGAAAAGGCGGGCAGGCGAGCTAGCGAGAGAGGGATAAATAAAAGAGTAAGAGGGGGAGGGATAAATAAAAAAAGAGAATGACAGATGGAAATAGAAAGTATGATTGGAAAATAAGAGTTTGAAAGAGTAAGAAAGTGTGGACGAGAGAGAAAGTCAGAGACAGCTAAAAGGACGAAAAATTGGGTGAGAGGGAGCGAGATATTGGGAGGGGGAGAAAGAGAGAGACAAGCTAAAAGAGAGAGAAATTTGGAGAGAGATGCAGCGAGAAGGAGCGAGGTATTGAAAGAGAGGGAGAGAGAGTGTGTGTGTGTGTAAAAGTGAGAGATAAAGAGAGAAATTTTGTGCGTGCGCGCGCGCGCGTGTGTGTATGTGTGTGTGTGTGTGTGTGTGTGTGTGTGTGTGTGTGTGTGTGTGTGTGTGTGTGTGTGTGTGTGTGTGGGCGTGTGTGTGGGCGTGTGAGAGTGAGAGAGAGAGAGAGAAAGAAGAGAGGGAGAGAGGAATAAATTACAAAAAGAATGAGTGCTGGCAGTAGATAGAATGACCAAATAAAAAGAGTGGGAGAGAGATGGAAATACAGAGACGAAGAGTGAACAATAGAAAGAGAGAGGTATGGAAGAGAGGGTAAAAGAGAAAGAGAGAGAGACCAAGAGAGTGAGTAAGATACAATGAATGTAAAAAAAAATTGTCCAAGAAAAGTTTGATATTTGAGAGAAAAACAGAAAAAATATAAGATAGAGTGAGTTAAAGTGTTAGAAATAGGTGATTGTAAAAGACGAGAAAAATCGTACGGAGTGAAATAGTGTGATGTAGTTGAAGTTTGAGAAAATAGATAAGAAAAAGTGGAAAAAAGATGTGAATATACAAAGAACGAGAAATATTAATAACAATCATACTACATGACGGGCTACTATGATACCCGACAATCCGATGGTAACCGATCATAATTCACACGAAAACCTATTGCCCAAAACACATGTAAACACTTACATCCATCATCATTCTCGCAGATAAATACAGTTATTCGTCAATCTTTCACACTAAACTATTTGCAACAGAAAACATAGATAGGCCATCGAGGTACTACCGCCACTCCCCTCCAGAAGTATTGCTAAAGATAAAATGTACTAAAAAAGAGAAATATAATTAATGATAAAAAAGTGTGGAGAGAAAAGGGGATAAAAAAAAAGAAATAAACAAAGTCATCTTGAAAAGGAGAAGACAAAGGAAAGAGAAAAAGAGATATGTAGTGAAAGATGGCGATAGAGATGTAGATAGGAAGAGCTAGATAAAAAAAAGGAGAACGATGTATTTAAAGTCCACCTCATCTTAATTTTATCTTATTTTAAAGTTTGTTTTCCGTATATCTGGTTTTATCAGAATAGAACAGTCGAGATTTTTTTTATCACAAATTTTACTTTTTATCCAAAGTGCTTTTGTATGTTCAGCGAGGCGAATAAAAATGGTTTTTAGATAGGATTAAATTTTAATTTTGAGTTTTAAACTATTCATACTAGGTCAATAAATAACTTACTGCTTTATCAAATGTTTCATTCGTTAGGTAGTATTATTATTACTGTTATTCATATTTTAAAATATTTACCTATTGATTAACATATGTACAAATGTCTGGTGGCTAGTGTCCGTTAGTCGATGATTATTCAGAAATCGTGAGATGCTGTCTGGTGTTATGTAGGTTTCAGAAAAACATTTTCTTTGTCGTACCAATGTTTCGATCTTTATTGAGATCATCTTCAGGGCCTGGGATTTACAAACAGAAATACTTTCATTGAATATAAAAATTTTTACAATTAATTAAGGTTTTTCGTTGAGATAAAAAAGTCAATGGCACGAGCGGGATTCGAACCCACGATCTTCGGCTAGATACGCCGCTGCTCTACGAGCTATCGTGATCCAATCGGACACCAACTTCCCATCTCAACCCCACCTTTTAAATTTTCCCTCCTTTTTGCCATTTTTCAAATGACGTGTAATCGGATTGGATTCTCGGCGACAAATGAAATGGCCACGGAGAGCTTTAGTGAAGTACACTTCATTTTAATCAATTAAATTCACTATTTTTCGAGGTTACATTTAATTAATACAATTACAATTAATTAAAGTTTTCAAGGTCACGATAGCTCAAGTGGTAGAGCAGCGGCGTATCTAGCCGAAGATCGTGGGTTCGAATCCCGCTCGTGCCATTGACTTTTTTATCTCAACTAAAAACCTTAATTAATTGTAATGTATCAATTGGTCAAGCGGACCACGAAAAATAGTGAATAAAAAATTTTTTGCATTGTATACATTCACTTTTTCTTCACATCCTAAATGTTTTTGTTTAATTTAAACGATGTTTGTAAATCCCAGGCCCTGAAGATGATCTCAATAAAGATCGAAACGTTTGCACGATAAAGAAAATGTTTTTCTGAAACCTACATCATCCCAGGACCGCATCTCACGATTTATGAATAATCATATGTACGAATTTTTACAATTTTTCATTTCTATTTAGAAAAAGGTCGTAGAAATGGACGTAAACCAAATTCAAACGGTGGTTATCATATCCGATAGAAACTCATCGTAAGGGTTAACGAATAAAATCCTTTCGGGCGGTTTGAGCCTGATTCCATTCTTGGGTCGTTTATAGATTTTTTTTAAGTACGACATTATATTATGTGTAATAAATCTCATCCCCACATCCGTATTATCGTGAAGATGCGAAGCACAGATCTATTGTTTATTTACCACAACAGTAAAAAATACATGATAAATGACCCGATTCAATAGCTACGGCTTTTTGAATTGACCGACTCTGTTCTGTACATACCATTTTGGCCTTTGTCGGGCTGACCATACGCCGAAAAACCGAAAACACCCAGGAGGAATAAAGACACTGCGTACATCGACATCGTGACCTCTACTGGAGTGAGCCTTCCTCCAAATACTTATCACACTGACAACGATCCCTACTCTCCTCCCACCTCTTGTGAGATGTTTGAAAATTATGTGTTTTTGGAGGATTATTTTTTAGCGGGTGTCAAAACTTTATTAATTTATCGCCGGCTCACTTTGTAGAGATAACTCGTTAATGGTTCGTTCTACAAACGTCTACAGTACCTAGTAGAAAACTCCTATGTTAACCTGCTCATCTCGTATTATAATCGAACCTTTATTCAACTAATGAGCTCACCACAAGGAAGTTAAAAACAAAAATAATGAACGTAAAAAGTTAATTTAAAAAAGTTAAATTTCATTCGCCGATTATATTTAATAATAATAGTATAATAATAATTATTATTATTATTAAAGTGCAGAATTCAATAATATAATTTTATAGTAAAAACCAGGGATAAGACCAGATGGAAAGAAAATCTTAGATTCCTTTTTAGAGCTTCTAAAGAATAAATCCCCTTCATCACAATGTTGTAAGTATAATTAATGAATTACATAATTAATAACTTTAAATTAATAATAACATCACTAATTTCTTGGTCCGCTTGGCCAATTAATATATTACAATTAATTAAGGTTTGTAGTTGAGATAAAAAAAGTCAATGGCACGAGCGGGATTCTAACCCACGATCTTCGGCTTCATACACCGCTGCTCTACCACTTGAGCTTTCGTGACCTCGATCCACTCGTGCACTCTATTTTTCAAATGTCTGCAAATGGCAAAAAGGAGGGAAAATTCAAAGGTGCGGTTGAGATGGGAAGTTAGTGTCTGAGTGGATCGAGGTCACGATAGCTCAAGTGGTAGAGCAGCGGCTTATCTAGGCGAAGATCGTGGGTTCGAATCCCGCTCGTGCCATTGACTTTTTATCTCAACTAAAAACCTTAATTAATTGTAATTAATAATAACTTTCTAAATCATTAATTAGTTTCACAGTCGAGAGAGAGAGAAAGAAAGAAAGAAAAAGAAAAGCTGGAGAGAGGTATTGGATTTATAAAGATAGTGTATGATAAACTGATAGAAATAAAGAAAAATAAATGAAGAAAGAGAGTGGAAAACCTTCAAAACAGATTCAGTAGAGATGGGCGGAGATACAGAATGAATGATAGAAATGCAGCGAGAAAGAGAGAGAGAGAGAGAGAGAGAGAGAGAGAGAGAGAGAGCGGAAGAGAGAAGGAAGGGAGAAGGAAGGGAGAAGGAAGGAAGAGGGAGAGAGAGAAATAGAGGGAGAGAGAGAAATAGAGAGAGAGTGAGAAAGAGGTAGAGAGAGAAAAAGAAAGAGAGAAAGTGAGAAAGATGGAGAGAAAATATTAGACGTACAAAGAAAGAGTATGAGAACTTGGTAGAAACAGAGAAAAACAAATTAAGAACGAGAGCGATGGAAAATCTTCTGATGTAGAAAAATAAAAAATAAATGGAAAGAGAGAGAGAGGGTGCGGGAGAGAGAGAGAGAGAAAGAAAGAAGAGAAAGTGAGATAAACAGAGAAAAGGTGGAGAGGGGATATTTGACGTATAAAGAAAGTGTATGAGAAACTGATAGAAATAGAAAAAAGTAAATTAAAAAAGTGTGCGATGGAAAACCTTCAAAACAGATTCGATAGAGATGGACAGAAATACAGAATGACTAAAAAAGAAATGGAGAGAGAGAGAGAGAGAGAGAGAGATGAGATAGAGAGCGAGAGAGAGAAAGAGAGAGAAAGTCTTTTGCTTTTGGAAAGATAAAGAAACGGCATGAGAGAGAAAGTTAAAATAAAAAAAGGAACGGATAGAATAGAAATAGAGGTGGAGAGAGAATGAGAAAATGGAGAAAACGAGAGAGAAGGAGAGAAAGGAAAACGTGACAAATAATAAAAGTAGGTGAAGAAAGAAAAATATTAAGATGAGAGATACGTAGAAGAACATAAAAAAAAGGTGTACAGAAATAAATAAAAAATCAGATATAAACATATCGAGTAAGAGGTGGTGATATAGCTGTGAAGTGAAGTACATGAATGGAAATGGTGACAGAACTAGAGGGGGTGATGGCGTGGTAAATAGTGCGTGAGAGAGTGAGACTGTACTGACTACTGTAATTGTACTGAACATTTTATTTATAAAAGCTCGCAAAATTAGGACTCGCGGACCTTTCTTACATTTAACGAACATTCATACAAACAAATAAAGTTTACATAATTCAAAATACAAAATACGTATAATACAAATAGTATTCCAGGTTAAATATTTATCTATTACTAAGCCTAGAATTTTTATGTAGTTGTCTAAAATTAATATACTATCATCAATTTTGATTTTTACAATATTATCTTTCTTTAAATTTGCAAATTCTTAGTGATGTCTTAATAAACTAGCTTTACGTTTTTAATATTAATTGATAAAACATGATCAACGCTCCATTTTTTTAAGTTTTTATGTCGCTATTTAGTTGTAATATGATTTCATTTATATTTAATAATTACGATTTTACATATACAGAGAGGGAGAGGGAGAGAGAGAGAGAAAGAGAGAAAGAAAGAGAGAGAGAGAGAGAGAGAGAGAGAGAGAGAGAGACAGACAGACAGACAGACAGACAGACAGACAGACAGACAGACAGAGACAGACAGACAGACAGAGAAAGAGAAAGAAGTAGAGAGGTAAAAAGAAAGAAAGAGGGTGAGAAAGATGGAGAGAAAATATTTGACGTATAAAGAAAGTGTATGAGAAACTGATAGAAAAAGAGAAAAATAAATTAAGAAAGAGAGCTATGGAAAACCATCAAAACAGATACAATAGAGATAGACAGAAATACAGAGTGAATGAAAAAGAAATGGAAAGAGTGAGAGAGAGGGAGACAGACAGACAGACAGAGATAGATGGATAGATGGATAGATAGATAGATAGATAGATAGATAGATAGATAGAGAGAGAGAGAGAGAGAGAGAGAGAGAGAGAGAGACAGACAGACAGACAGACTAATGGGAAAGAGGGAGAAATGGAAATATAGTTAGAGATGGAGATAGACATAGGAAGATTAAGAACTATATATAAAAGATTNAAAGAGAGAGAGAGAGAGAGAGACAGACAGACAGACAGACAGACAGACAGACTAATGGGAAAGAGGGAGAAATGGAAATATAGTTAGAGATGGAGATAGACATAGGAAGATTAAGAACTATATATAAAAATTTATTTAATAGGTTAAAAAATTTGTTATATTAAGATATATATATTTTTAAAAATTTACATTATATATAAAATGTAAGAAGATATGAAGACAAAAGACTAAGAAGACGATTGAATGATAATATAGAGAAATATGGTAAAATAAGAGTAAAAATAAAGTGCGATTAATAGGGACAGGGAGATAATAAATGATAATATGACTATCAAATTATGCCTTTGATTTTCAAATAGTTTGTTTAATTTTTCAGACATATATTTTAAATCGACCAATTGTTGAATTGTTGCACCTTGTCGTACCTATAAAACCATGCATGACTTGCAAAGTTAGTTAGTTTTTGACAGTTTGTGTTTCAGTTGTAAGTTCGGTGTACTTAATCTGTCAGTCTAAGACTTGAAAGGAGTCCCATACAACAATGGAATCCTGAGAGTACCACTCGTTTACAAAATGAGTTATAACTTCCCTCGCCGGGATATTGCAAAGGGAACACGTGTCAACAGCGTCTCACCTAATTGGTGATTAATTTGGATAGTATGGCTCACAACTTAATTTGAAGAGCCAACTTTGAGTATAAACAGAGTGCTTTAGTCAAATACGAGGAATTATTGAATGGAAGAAGGAGGTAAAGATATTTTTACAACTAGACGACTCTTGAGCTGCCCTCATTAACAATGAGTTTTATTAATACCATCAGTCAGTTGGTTTATTAAAATTTCAATATTCAGTCATTTATACAATGCAAACGTTAGAAATTTTTGTCGTAATCTCATTGTCGCATTGCAACAAAAAGATGGGTTCGAGAAATGATAGCCTGCTTTTGAAGAGTAGCTCAAGTTTACTTCGATTTTAACAGCCTTTTAAATAAAAACCTAGAAAGTGATAGGTTTGGCACATTGCCCTTTCTCTTTTACAATTACCAAAGAATGTAAAACGCTAATTGTACGCTGGATATGCGAGTTTCGAAATACGCAAATGGAGAGATAGAACTTCGTCTATCGCTATCGTTCATAGATTAGGTTTTTCGTTATTATCTTGGATTTGTTACAATTTTATTGGTTATTTAAATTATATTTATTTACACTTTTTCATATAAGCCATAAATAATTAAAAAATTAGAGTAAAAGATGTGTCACGGGTGGGACTGAAACCACCGTCTTCGGAGCAGTACTCCGACGCTCTGCCATTGAGCTGATAGTTATGTTCTTCGATTCGGTTTTTTTTCTCTCTTTTTTTGTATTTTGTCTAATGATTTGAATTGATGTGAATGTGTTCAAATGGTTTCTTCCTAGTGAATATACCTATTTCTAGGCTTTCTGGTATAGTGGAACCGTGTTGGTAAACGATGAGCGGGATTCGAACCCACGATCTTCGGCTTGATGCGCCGCTGCTCTACCACTTGAGCTATCGTGGCCTCGATCCACTCGGACACTAAGTATCTAGCCGAAGATCGTGGGTTCGAATCACGCTCGTGCCATTGACTTTTTTATCTCAACTGAAAACCTTAATTAATTGTAAGATATTAATTGGTCAAGCGGACAATGAAACTAGTGCATCTAAAGAAAAAGTTGACAGCAGTTTATTCAGATATTCCGATAACGACTTCACAAAATTTGGAAAAATTTTAAGGGTTTCTAGAGGAGCTAAACCGAAATTCTATAATAATTTTACGAAAAGAAGTTAAGACCTAGTTTACTTGAAAATTATTTGGTTTTTGTACCTGGTCTTCGCCTTGTTCCGTATTTTCCAAACAGAACATTATTCCGAAATGGGGATCATAGCCTTAAACAGCCATTAGTAAAAATTGTTGTAGTTGTATGTGTGAAACTTAAACGTTCATTAAACTTATTAATTATTAAATTGTAAGGAAAGTTAAGTGTCATGTTAGAGTACCCTGTCCAATTAGATATCTTGTATTGTGTAATTGTAAAAGACAACGCTACGTCCAAGACTGTAACTAACAACTTTGTACTTATTTACATTTAGTTTCATGCCAAATAAGTTGAAAGACATATTTAATGTGTAATATTTAGTGACCGTTAATTAATGATTATTTGGAGATGGTGAGGTGCGGTCTGGTGTGATGTAGGTTTAGAAAAGCATTTTCTTTATCGTTCCAACGTTTCGATCTTTATTGAGATCATCTTCAAGGCCTGAGATTTATAAACATTGTTTAAATTATACAAATACATGTAGGATGTGAAAAAATCAATTTATACAATGCTAGAAATTTTAGTAGTAGTATTTTTACTCATTCAAAGTGTTTGTTTTCCGTGTAGATGTGTCATAATTGTGTGACGTGTTGAGATTGCAAGTGAGATATTGATATTTTTTGTTTATATATGTTTGATTTTGAAGAAGTAGGGAAATATATATAAATACAAACTCATTTATCTAAAAGCAGTCGGTTTCTTTGAGATGAAAGAGTCCGAGAACGGAAAAAATGTAATTGTTTGTCGTTCGAGCCTGGTTAGCCATTCAGGCTATAGACAGGTTTATTAGGGAAAGGAAAGAAAAATTGTAGTTGATTTAGACTATGTAGAATTGTTTGATGTGTGGAATGTAATGATTGTTTTATATGTTGTTTTGTTTTGTGTGTTATATGTATGTCATTTATATTGAATTTCATTTATGAAGTAAACGTAGCTTCGGCTGAGTATATAAGTGTCTGTTCTGTAATTGATTCTGTGTTTAATTATTGCTAAAAACAGTTTGTGATCAGAACCATCATTTACAAAAATGAATTGACATACTTAACCGTACGACTAATTTTTGACCTTGGACGTCAATTACGTCACTGATCCACAACAGAGACCGGTATATCTTTGTGTCTAACGATTTACTATAACCATTAATAAAACCTTCGTTTGGACAATGTTGCACAAATAGCATTGTTTTCCTGAAGTAATAAATAAACTTATTTCTAAGTAAAAAAATGTAGTCAAATTACTCAAATTTTGATTTAAAAAAATGGGGATAAATATAATGTGCCTGACTTCGGCCGGTGGACTTCCCTTGTTTTCAAGGAAAATGGGCAATGTGGAAGCTGTAAGTTTTTAATTCGATGTATTTTACAAAAGGGTTGGTTGAATACATTTAATTATTTTAAACAATGCCAACGTACACTTTATGATATTAAAAACTGGCGTAAAAAACTTTTTTTAAAGATAAAACCAGCAAGAATAGATAGATTCGGATGATCAGATATGATCGAGATGAGTGATCATTGTGCAACATCTCTCAAAGAGACAAAAATCACATTTATTTTAATTAACTATTTCTCCATTTTCCCTTCTTTTTATTTTATCACTTTTTAGCTTCCTGCCACTAAAATCTAATTAAATTCAAACCTCTAGATATCAGAAGTGTTTAAATGGTCTGAAAGTCAGTCTTCCAACTTCCATACACATAGTTTTAGGTCGTCTGGTTAATAGATTTTTTCTAATAAAATATTTATTATCGTCTGTATAAAACAATTGTAATTTTAATTTATATTTTGTTTTGTAATTTTAGGCATTTTATCATACATATTTTCAATACATTATATCTAGGGGGAAGTTAGTAAATATTGCATTTCTCCCAACTTTGCTCATCGGGTAGTCCTTGGGGGAAGAGATTTTGAAGCCATCTCCGTTTTAGTTGTCTGGCAGGATTATAGCAATGGATTATGTTGGACATGAATTGGGCTAGTGGGTTGGGGTGAGTGAGTGGTGAGTTTATTGTGGAATTTGGTGGGATTAATTTTTTACAGAATATTTTGAGGTCGTTGTAGAGGGAGGTATTGGAGACATAGTAGGGAGCGTTTACTATGATTCAGAGGATTTTGAATTGGAAGGACTGAATTCGTTGGTGCATCGTCAAGATAGGACCCAAGGTACCTAGGGATAGGAATGTTGTTGAGTTATATTGTGTAATGGGTTTTGCTTCTGAGTGGAAATGTAACATGGGTGCATTTGTTTTGTTAATTTAACATTTGCTCCATTCGACTATTCCTTGGACGTGTACCTGGAGATACTCAGATTTGGAATTAGAGAAAAATACAGCTGTGTTGTCTGCAAAGGATTTCAGGAGGGTAAAAGAAGGCTTAGTTGGGGTGTCTGAAGTGTAGAGGAGGATTGGACACATTATCCTGTGACTTAGCTCCCACAGGACAGGTGGAGTAGTCTGACCTTAAAAAATACAATTTAAGTTGTCAATATAAAGATAAATATAATTGATGATGACCTGATTAAAGGTCGAAACATCAGCAAAAAAATGAAAAAGGTATTTTCTATACTGCCTTATTCTTGACCTCTCCTCACGTCTTCAACAAATTATGAAACAACTGGTTACTAAGAAACACACATTTCTACATATTAATGTACCGTTCAACCCAACAAAAACCTAACTCTGAAAAAAGGGCCAAGTTCCTGACCCGCTCTAAAAAAAAAAAAAATGTAATGCTATCTGCACTGTGGCCAAGTCCATTCTATTTTGGTCCATAACCTTAGAGAATGCAAAAGAAAAGGTAACATTTCCAGACACTACTAAAAAAGACAGCAGATAAAAGTTGTGATATCTACATATTTTACTCTGAAGATGTCACACAGTCACGACACTCGATATGCCTCAGGACAGGGGAAAAGAAGGAAAAATAATAAGAACCACCAGATGTCTTAAGTAACCACCCATTGTCATAAATTGTTGTTTGTTTATTAATAAGCCGAATTTAAATTAATCAGTAAAACTAACCCTTTAGTTAAAAATGAACCCTTTGCTTGCAAATTTAAGCTGTAGTCAACACTGGTTGTTCAGACTTATCATGAATTAACCATTAACGCTTCGGAGTTCAACCTTCCTTATATGTTCCTTTGTTTGACTATAGCTTCCGTTTTCAACCATTGGCTCATTGAACGGAGTCCACATGTTTGCCAAGTCACATGGTGTCTCTGTCGAAAGCACCCAGACAGAAAATGCGACTGTCCTGTGGAAAGAGTATGAAGACAGGTAATTGATTTTCATCAGGCCAAACAATTTTGTTTTCTTATCTTTTAAATTTAATTTTTTCATCGTTTCTTTCAGTGTTATTATAATAGCTGTTTCTATATTGAATGAGAAACGAGTTCTCATTGACCTTCTCGATACTGTTTTCAGTGCAATGGTCCTTTCAGTCGGCATTGACAGTATTAAAAATATAAAAAATATAGAACGTCTCAAAAGAGATTTAAGGGTATTGTTTTTAATGATATTTACTATTAGTAGTTGTTTCCTACTTCTTACCTTATGTGAAATAAAAGTACTGTTTAAAACAAGCAACAATCAATCCATACAATTTTCAATTTAAAAATTCAAAAGCTAGTGTTTCATCTTTTTTTATTATAATGGTTTTCTTTAACTTTTTAAGGTCTCATACTCAACAATTGATAGTATAATGGAATGCCTCGACTATGGGGACCGTGGTATAAACAGTTCGCACAACATTTTCAATTATGTAGAGACTATACTCTGCACCGAAGGAAATGAACTTCAAGTAATGTTAATTTTTTTAAGACCTAGTTAACTATTAATTTAATTTTAATATTTAATTTCTATAGACATGCTTGGACATGTTTGTGGAACGTGTTTCATCAATGTTTGGATGTGTAATGATTGAAAACTGTGTTGCTGCCGCAACTGAAAGTTGGTGGGATTTGGCACAGATGGAAAGAAAACTCCTGACACATGTTTTGATGACAAATACAAATTGCACTATATTTGACATTCCTGTATTCCTCCCTCATGAAAGTCCAACTGTTAGTTTTATTTTATCTGTTTTCAACTCATGTTTAACCAGGGGGAAAAATAATTTTAAACATTTTTTTAGGTACCTTTCAGATTTGTGGGTGTATGTTTAATTAGCTCTATCTGGGTTGGTGTTTTATGCGGACCGACACCAGATTTGTCAGCGGTTCAAAGCACAGCTTATCAAGTCTGGTCACCAGTGCTGACAACACTGAAATTCGCATACCAAACCTATCCAAGGAATATACCACATTCTGTTCAAATCCACAATTCTGTCATAGGGTAATTTTTATTCATAGTTTCATGAAATGTCTTTTTGAATAATTTTGCATGTTTTGTAGAATTCTTTTAATCGAAACTTCTATTGGAAAGTACCTTTCATGCACAAATATCAGTGGTAGCAAAAAAGAGCAGAAATCATTTTCAGAAGTTTTAAAAACATTTTTTTATCAAGCAGCAAGCATCCTTGTAGATAATGGTAATTCAGACGCTAAAAGCAAAAACAAAAATTAAATTTTCTGTTCGTTTTTCTCTTCCTTTTACAGATGATGCTGACACACCGAGTGAGACTTATTGGTGTGCCGAATACCATAAGCTTCATGCTCTTAAAGATGGAAACACAATTATATGCTCAATGTATCACTCTTCTATCCCGACAAATACTATGAGGTAATGTATCATTATTTTGAAAATTCTCCAGTTGCATAATTAATTAACAATTTTCATTTCTCTGTAGATTGATATCCCAACAAACTTTGTCTCTTCTAACAAAAGACAGTAATATTCATTGGTAGTTACATCGTTAATCTACCAATTTCAAACAAGTTCATTCAAAGTACCTTAAAGCTGTGATAAAATATTTAAAAAGATAAGAATTATTAGATTGAAATCAGTTTTAATTTAATGTGCTATTTTACTATTTATTCTCGTTTTATTTATTTATTTTTTTATATTTATTTAGTTCAGGTACATGTTTTTGTAAAAAATTTCTAAATTTTAATCATTAGAACTATTATTGTAATTGTTGTTTTATCATCTCTGATCATCCTTGTCTACCTATTTCTGCCAGATTTGTCTGTCAGACTCATTTCATCTTCAGTGGTGAGTTTTTGCATTTATGTACTTCTTGAATGTTAATTTAATATACTTGTTAGTATTATTATTATTTTGAGAGTTCTTCATGTGATCTGGATATATATTACCGATCATTTTAGTCTGTCTATTCTCAGGAGAAAACATGTATACAAACCAAAATGGTCAAATTACAAATTTAATTATTGTAAAAGTCATATCAGCATTTTTAAATGTTAATTTAATAAAATGCCAACATTGTCCCAGCTATGTCCATAAGTCACATAGAGGATATTTTATAGACAGTTTTGGCACAACTATTGTTCAAGCCACCAAATAAATCTCATACAGTATTTCAAAATCAGTGACATTTTGTTCCTCAGGCATTCCATTTCAACCCCCTCGGAGACAGTGTATGTCTCCTTGGAATTCAAAGTGCAGATTTTCAAATCAGTACTCTTACAGTGATCGCACAGTTGCAGCCACTGTTGCCCCTTCAGTGTAATTCACATTAACATTATTACTCCTGTAGCCTAAAGCAAGACAGCAACCTGCGTCATTGAGGGTTAATAAAACTCCTTGAAGTCTTCATGGGTTTTAAAAAACAAGATTTACAAATCTGATTGGGCTATATCAATTTGTTTTTATTTTTCTAATTATATGCGTTATTTTTTTTAATGTAGCATTTCATTAAAGTTTTATACTAAATTGGCTGTAATGAAGTGGGATTTAGAGGTGTAAAGTTATTATTTTTTTATTATTTGTAAATGTACTTTGATTTTTTATTATTATTTTTTTAAATCAATTTTACATATAATTTGTAACTTCGCCTAAAGACATAAATGTTGATTTAATGTAATTTTCTTTGTTAAAGTATGTATAAGCATTAAGTGATATAATAAAACTACTCTGTGGCCATAAAATGTATTTTTTATTATCTTTGTGTATTTTCTTTTCTACTGTTCCTGTTAATCATTACTTTTTTTTGTAAGGAGGGTCAAAAATAAAGCACCTTTCAAAAAACTTTTTTTTTTGCCGACTTTTCCATGTTTCAGTTTATCTTCAGAGCCTAGGTGAATTACAAAACATACGTTGATTGAAAAAAATACTAAGTAAATTTAAATTTTGTACTAAGTATTTCATACTCACATAAAGCGTGGTGCTATTCTTGTGGTGTCGTAATGGTTTGTGTAAATTTGTTGTGATGTGTGTGGAGATTAGTGACCGTTAATCGATATCTGAATAATTATTTGTTGTGATATGTGAATTCGTATTCTGCTGTTTTTATATGATTGTGACAGGGTGGGAGAAGCAGTAAAGCTAGGAAATTTTCTTTGATCATAGGCGGTTTTATTTTACTCAAAGGAAGTCGATAATGGAAATTTTCTGGATTGGATTTGTGATTCAGGGTTATACAATATTGGAAAGGCGGGCAATTAATATGGATGATAACAAAGCCAAGGGAAATATAAAACTAAAGTTTAATACTTCAATTGCTTTGTGATGTTGCAATGGCTACGGCTGAGTTTGCATGTATCTGTTCTGTAATTAATGCTGTGTATCTTTGTTGGCGTAAACCATTTCTAGGGAGTTGCGTTTGTATTTTTTTTTTTTTTTTTCAGCGTTTAGTAGTATTTTGTCGAAATCCCAAAAATTCAGTGGGATTTCGACAAAATACGACTACTAATCGCTGGAAAAAAACAACAAATGCAAACGCAACTTTCTAGGAATAATTTACGTCAATAGAAACACACACTGCATTAATTACAGAACAGATACATGCAAACTCAGCCGTAGCCATTACGACAACATCATAAAGCATGAAACTTTATTTTTATATTTCCCTTTACTTCGTTATCGTCCTTAATAATTTACTTCCTTTCCAATATTGAATAACTCCGAATCACAAATCCAGTCCAGAAAATCCCATTCTCGACTTCCTTTAGGTTAAATAAAGCCGCCTACGATCAAAGAAAATTTCCCAGATTTACCGCGGCCCCCACCCTGTCACGATCATACAAAACTAGCAGAATAGAAATTCACGTTTCACAACAATTTCACACAACACCGATATGACACCACAAGAATAGCACCACACTTTATGTGAGTACGAAATACTTGGTTCAAAATTTAAATTTACATCTGTATTGTATTTTTAACAATCAACATATGTTTTGTAGTTCACCCAGGCCCAGAAGATGACCCGAGTAAGAACGAAACGTTGGCAAAAAATGAAAAGGATGTTTGTTTTTTCTAAAATACTTTTTTCCTAACCGCTCCTCACGACTTCAACAAAAAATTAATTATTACTAATGGGTAGATTGTCAATTATTAGAGTAGATGCTGGGTGTTGGCCTGCGAGCCGGTGACCTCATGTTAACTGAATGAGGAAATAAGGAAGAGTTTCCTCACTGAAGATGGCACAATGCCGATACGCGTTTGAGGCGATCAACTAACCCGCAAGTGAAGACGGGCCCAATAAGTGATCCAGTGCCGGTTGTCAATTACTAGCTTGAAATCTTTTTTGACAAAGGTACATTTTTTCAGTATCTTTGTAACATAATAGAGTTTTTTTTAAACATTTATGTGGTTTATATTCATGTTGTTATTTATGTCACTAATAAACACATTCTAAACATAAGAATTTTAAAAAAATGCAAAAGGTAACATAATTTAAAAAGATAAATTAACAGAAAAAAAAGAAAATCTAAATAATCATACGTTTTAAAACAAAATTCAAATATAAAAAATTATAAACAACAATTTATCTATTTTGTTGCAATGGCGTTTACAAAATTGCATTAAATTTGGTCAATGGGTAGTTCGACAATATTACGATTAGTTTTGTATCCCTGCCCCTTGAAAAAATTAATAACTATTTTTTTAATTTATTTTAAAATCGTTGTAATATTGTTTTTTATTCCTTCCTTATCCTTGAATACTATTTAACTGACTGCTGTTTCAGAGTGAGGTGTGGCAACGAAACTCAAATATCTGACCAATTGAAGCTGGTGTTCCACAAGGGAACGTGTTAGGTCCCATCCTTTATACCACGTATACTGCTGACATTCTTATATATCACATTACTATTAGTACTTATACCGATGACAGAGTTGACACCACAATTCTCTCTTAGGGTGTCAGAGACACCTTGAGTTTATCAAAGACTTGCAGAAAGTGGAGGATAAGCCAAATGAGGAAAAATGTAACCAGTGTACATCAAAAATTGAAAAAATCTTGCCGTTCACTGTAAATATAAACAACAAGGAGCTATTACTTTCCACTCAATTCAAATACTTTGGACTTTACCTAGACAGCAGACTAATGTGGAATCTCCTCACAAAACTTGGGACAAGAGCTTAACAGAAGATTTGGACAACTATGAAGACTTAGGAGTATCAAAGCTTAACTATCTCTATACGAGACATTTTTAGAACCTCTCTAGTCTGCGGAGTGGAAATGGGTCCTCCAGGCATGAAATGTCCAACGCCTCCGATCATTCCGATCAAAAGACCTTAGACAAATTGTCAAAGGTCTTTAATCACATCACTATCCACAACGACCTTAACATTCCTTTTCTCAACTAACTGATCCGATCCCATTTACAAGTTTCAAAAACAAGTTTTCTTCGATCCATCCTTACCCTATTTCCAAGCCACATCTACACTTTCCTGAGAGTCCGCCATACCATGGTGACATACCATGACGATGGTCTCAAGAATTCCCCATCCGTTAATCCCTCATACTCAACACCAGCATTTGCTGAGGTGCTGGCCATGGTGCCATTGTTGTGACTGGGAATGAAACCATAAACGAACATATTTGCAATTTGTATTTTGAAATAGGTGTTTTGTTGAACTTCTACAACCAATTAAGTTGTTTATTTGTGGCCTAGATTCAGCCTATCAGCCAGAAATAAACAAACAATTGGTTGGGGAAGTTAATTTAACAGGTAAACGAGGAGCTTGGGATGTATTTCGTTTATTTACAGCCCACAAATAAACTATTTATTTTAAAAACGATTGCCTTATAATTATAATTTGTGATAGTAACTGTTTTATATTGTCGATTTTTTAAGATATTTTATTTGAGGATTATTTATTTATATGTTCAAGGTATTTGATCTTGCATCGATTAAATTATATTATTATAAGAAAATAAAATATTCTGAATATTTAGTTTATTTAAATTTAATAAATGACGTTAGGTTGGTCAGAATTGATTTAATTGTTTAAGATGTGATGATTTCAAGTGAAAACTTTTGTCTTCAGTTGAGGACATCCACCATATAAATATATGTCTTTCGACTTTTCTGTCTTTCTGGCTAAAGCCTCAAAAACCTTAAACTCTGTTCTTTTATGTCTTTATTTATCATATTATTAAAATTACCAAAAATGCTTAGTTGTGGGGCAAAAATTTATTTTTAAACTCATGCATATGTGATTTATGGCATCGCTTAGAAAAGCCCTCATAAAATTTTAATGTTTATATTTCTTAAATTATTTTCGTGCTTCGGGAAGTTAACAACTTAGCAAATTTGAGAGTCGTGCTTAAATGAATTATAGAAATTGGGCAGCGGATAAGCAACTAGGTCGATATTCGCGAGGGACGGTGAGAGCGCAAGTCGGACTGAGTCAGAGTCAGTCACCGTCGAGATGAGCATCGCCGACGTTTTCCTCGTCAACAAGCTGATTAAGTTGATCAAGGCGAACAGGTGCCTGTATGACCCCAGGAGTGAAAACCACAGCAACCGAGCTTTTGTCAACAGCGTATGGAAGTCGATCGCGGTCGATCTGGGCCAGCCAGGTAGCACTTGCCATTTAAGTTCTGTGACTCGTCTGTCCGACTTGATGTCCGACGCGTCGACATCCGAAAACGGTTCCGTACAGTATGTTAATCTTTATTTCCGTGTAAAATAACCAATCTTAATGATTGATTGTAATTTAGTTGAGAATTGCCTCAAACCTTCCTGATTAGCCGTTAGATTTCAGCCTTATGCACCAGTCCGAATTAGAATTTGTTTTTTATTGAATATTACAACTACCTATAATTTTGGGTAACAAGCAATACTAAACAAGAGAGCACGTATACACGAAAACAAAATAAACCATCATAGTTGAAAAGGTACATTGGTAGCACTCCAAATTAGGTACATTCCATCACATTTCACTACCACCATCCACTAGACAGGAGATCATGTGCCATCCTTCTTTGGTCTACGTGGAGGGTTTGACGGATTTGGCGGGATGAGAGCTGTCAGATGAGTGGGTTTATGTTGACTAGGAGTGAGATATGTACCTTACGATATTTGGATAGGATAGTGTTGTGTTCGGAGGGTTATGCTTGTTTGTTTTTTTTTGTTTTTTTTTACTGGGGCTTCCGACATCTGGGTCATTTCAGCCCCAAGCTAAGTCAAGTCAATATTCTATATACACTTCTATTTACAAACACTACATTCATACAGATAAATACATTCATACACATAAATACATCCATACAATACACTCATTCCGTTTGGTCGGTGGAGTACTTGATATTCCTCCACCGACCTATACTCGAACTAAACTAGATTGGGGTCGATGGAGTACTTTTATAAATATTCCGCCATCGACCCCGAACACATACTCANAGATTCTCGAACACAGCAGCGAGTCAAACATTTTTAACAAGGTCTCCCTGTCCGCTCCCCATCTAAAGTGACCAATAAATTTCAGCAGTGTGAGGATTTTTCTGCCTCTGACCTCGACGGCGTCGATGTGTGGCCTCCATCTCAACTGCTTATCAAATATGAGGCCGAGGAACCGTACCGTCTCTACATATCGAAGGGGGGCGCCCAGCAAGCAGAGCTGTGGGGGCCTATGGATGGTTTAATTTCAGATGTTTAGGATTTTTCTAAGGATTGGGGTGTTATTCGTGGTATGTTGGAACGCTTGCAGCATCCCAAAGTTCCAATCCGTAAGTCCAGATCGGTTTTAGGATACTATTGTAAATTAGTCGTTGGCTATTTAGTCAAGTATTCTTATTGGTAGGGAATTGTAACGTCACGTTTGTAGTTTGATCGTTAACGATCATTTTGGTCTGCCAGCCGCATTTTGGCTTTTCAACAACACTCAGCACTGATTTAGAAAAAAAAAGACTAGTGCCTTTTCATTCTTTTCTGTCAGACGGCATTACGCCATCTGCAGTTTATCATCATCCTCAGACATAATTTGGACATATTGAAGGGTATCTTGTTGCACCCACTTATAAACTTGATTTACCACCGATTATGCCAAAATACCGAAAGAAAACTAACCGACAAAAATGACTCATTACCCCTCAGATCCCATGAGTAAATCTCATTTAGGATAGCGTTAAGCAGTTTGATGGACTGCCATCATTCTTGCCTTTATTTGCTATTTTAAACCTCAGATGTGTTTCAGTTGATGGAAGACCTCTAGTGCTTGCTTCTCCCTGCAAATAACATCGAACATCTACTACAGTTAGAAGACCTTTGTACCTTGCTTCTCCCTGTAAATAACCTTGAACATCTACTACAGTTAGAAGACCTTTGTACCTTGCTTCTCCCTGCAAATAACCTTGAACATCTACTACAGTTAGAAGACCTCTGTACCTTGCTTCTCCCTTCAAATAGCCTTGAACATGTACTACAGTTAGAAGACCTCTGTACCTTGCTTCTCCCTTCAAATAGCCTTGAAGATTTACTACAGTTAGAAGACCTCTGTACCTTGCTTCTCTCTGCAAATAACCTTGAACATCTACTACAGTTAGAAGACCTTTGTACCTCGCTTCTCCCTGTAAATAACCTTGAACATCTACTACAGTTAGAAGACCTCTGTACCTTGCTTCTCCCTGCATATAACCTTGACCCAACCCGGAACTTAAAAGGTTTTCCTTGCTTATATAACCTTGAGGTACTACTGAAGTAGAGCCCTCTGTGCCTTGCTTCTCCGTGCCAATAACCTTGAGTATTTAACGGGACTGACAAATCACAACAATGTGATCAAGCAGACCAAAGTGATCGGAAACAACCAATCTACTAATTCATCCCTCCAAGAGGACATTATAAATATATATAAATAGTTTGATGGTCTGCCATTTTTCTTGCCTATCTTTGCTGTTTCAATATCTCAGACGTGTTTCAGTTTCTCGCAAACACCTAGCACTGATAAGATAAATTCAGTGTCTTTCTTCTTCCTGCTTCAAAATCTTGACCCATCTCAGAAGTAGTTTTCCTTCTTATAACCTTGACCATCAACATAAGGTAAAAAAACTCAGAGCTTTGATTCTTCGTGCTTAAACGTCAGCATCTACTGAAGAAAGAAGAACCCAATGCCTGGGTTCTCTTTGCTACTATGCATTCACCCACCATTGAAGGTAGAAGCTTTTCCCAGCTTATAACCATGAGCATGTATGGAAGATGGAAGACTTCTTTGGCTTGGTTCTCCCTGCTTACAACCTTGAGGTACTTCTGAAGTTAGAAGCCTTCGGTGCCTTGCTTCTCCCTGCTAATAACCGTGAGAAACTACCGAAGGAAGAACAAAGTGGCTTGCCTCAAAGAGACCTGCCTCGTTACGAACAGCGAAAGGTCCAAGTGGGACAACCAAAACAGAATTTTCAAGCAGACCAAAATGATCAGAAACAAGCAAACTATTAGATTCTTGTTTTCAGCTGCTTACATCCATGAGAAACACTGAAGATGGCGAAATGCCGAAACGAGTTTGTCAGACAAAATGTACATACAATACGAAAAGATCGACAAAACAAAACTACTAGGTTCATTACTCCGCAGACCCTGAGAGGAAATATCAACATTTGTATTTCAGTGTTAAGTATTTGGATAGGTTCCCGTCATTCTTGCCTGTCAAACATCGTTGTTTTGGTCGTTCAGACGCGTTCGCCATCTTGCCAACACCGAACAATAATAGATGAGCTCAGTGCCTTCCTTTTTCTTGCTTATAAACCCTAAGCTTCTACTGAAGGTACAAGACATCAGTCCTGCCTGCTTATAAACCTTGAGCATCTATTGAAGATTGAAGAACTTATTGCCTTGATTCTTCATTCTTACAAATTGACCCACCACTAAAGGTTGCTTCTCCCAGCTTATAACTGGATCATCTACTGAAGATGGAAGAAACCAGTACCTCGCTTTTCCCTGCTAACCTTGAGCAACTTCTGAAGATTATGGCACAACGGGTCTCACTGAAAATAAAGGATAATCAGGCTATCAGAATTCTTCTTTTCACACCAAACTTCAATTTTACCGACGATGTCCTACGTGTGGCTCACTTCTATATTTCGTGTTATTGTTTCTCACCACTGTTGTTCTTACTTCTACCTATCATCTGCTAACTGCTTAAAAGTTTGGATGCCATTATTAAGACATCAGCCAAAAGAGCTGTTCATAGTTCTTAATCACATTAAGACCTAAGATTCTGCCTTGTAAACCTCTGTTTTTTATAATTTTTTTACCTAAGTAGATATGTACTCAGAGCACGAGAACGTTCACTATCTAATGACGTTAGGAATCTGTGATACCTCTCATCAACGTCACCTTGTCCAGGACCTTTCAAGCATAACAAAAGGCTTAAGTTCTAATTAGTTGTTTGGTATATGAATGAAAGGCTCTGAGTTCAAATTGTGCAGCCTGCGGTATCATTCCGATTTTTGACAGCCTTTACAAGGAAAATGTTGCAAAAACTTTTGGCATAATCTGTGTTAAGCTAATTTGTAAAATCGGGTAGTCTTTGAGATTGCCATGTTTTGGTATAACTATAACATGAGCATGCTTTCAATTTTCAACGATGAGAGGAAGGCGTTGTTCTTCGTATGGCATGTATGTAAATAAACATTTATTCTTACCAACAGACAAGAAGGCTATCGTCAAATAACCCAATAAAAAAACACCGGTTCACGATCTGTTTGTGCAGACAGTATTTTAAAATTTAGCAAGAAGAGATATCGTATATCTAATTCAATATACATATATATATATAAATATATATACATAGATGAGAGAAACGATGCTCACCGTGCAATGAGCCAATGATAGTGCCTCAGGTACTGGTAGAGTGCTAGGGATTANTATAAGGAGATTGCGCATTTCTGTTGGAATGTTGGAAGAGGTAAATATTTTAGAACAAAAGAAATGAATACAATGAAAAAACAAAACAAATATATCAAACGTGAAAGGACAATCTTACATCCAGTTCTTTTCAAACAAAACAATTAATTAAACAAGTGCGTCAAAACAAGTTTCCCACGACAGGACCTTGGATTGTGCTAACTTCATCAGACGGAATCAAAGTTGTCAACGGGTTTTTTAAACATTCCCTTGTATGGCAATTATTTTTAACATTTTGAAAGCGTTTGCATGTTTGTTACTTTCCACAAAAACATAATAACAATTATTTTAAAACAAAAGCCGCAGTGAGAGTCTTCGACTTACGCTTCAAACAGGAAAACTTGACGAGCGAGAAAAATGCCTTGAAAACACTTATACTACAATCCAGATTTGAATAATAAAGAGAATTTGAAGGGTTTTTAAGATGAATCCACACAATGTTGTATTTATAGAAATAAAAGTAGATATAAAAAAAAGAATAAAAAAAATAATCCATCTATATATTGTCTGATATACAGAAAATGATTGTGGGTTGCGGGCGGCTCGTCCCTACAAACCTGTCTTTCAGCCAGAAAAATATTTATATGTATATATATATTGAATTTTTTCGACATTCAAACTAGGTCGTGCTTAAATTACTGAAGAAACTCTTATTGCCGGTTTAAAGTTTGAACCGTGTTTGTCTTTTTATTGATTTTTGTATCTGTAAAACAATTTTTTTTAAACAGCTTTATGTACTATGCATATTAGCCAATGCCAGATAATGCTTATTGGGGAGGAAAGGTATTGTGAAAAAAGGACCGCAGGCGACGGCGGGAATTGAACCCACGACCGCGAGGTCTACAAGCCGAGAGTCTCTCATGCTAACCACTCGGCTACCGCGGTCCCCCTGTAAAACAATTACAATAGTAAAAATGCTGAAAGATCGAAACAATGACATGAAAAACATGCGAGGAGAACCCGGAAAATCCAACATCCTATAGAAGAAATAAATAATGACTGCACTTTTTCAACATTCTTCATCTCTGCGTTTCAGTCGAAGAGGAGTATTATATGGGATGGTAGTTGAACTAAGCTCTACGGACCGAGGCAATGGTGCGTGTAAAGGGATTGATTGATTGTTTTGTAATTGGTTTTCGCCACTTCTGAAACAAAGTGATTATTAATCTCTTGGTGTAATGTGAGGTTTGATACATAAAAAGGATGGGTAACAACTTTTTTAGAACTTTTGATTGGAATCTTTGGGTGCATTGTGAGTTAGAATGACCTTGATTGACTCCCAGAGTCCACATAGGTTTGAGAATCATGCCCAATCTCTTGTAGTTAAGTGGAATGCATTTTTTTAGCGTTTTAGTCTTGCGTGCGGATTCCAAGTAAGTCGTTCGTACAGGTGAAGTAGTAGTACGTACATACTCGACAGGGGTATTACAATCCAGTTAAAGAGGTGGTCGTGTTATAGGTTTGAGTCTTAAGTAAATGTATTGGCTCTTCGTTGCATTTATTTTATTCTCCTTTTTTTGGACCAATGTCGAGGCACTGCAAATGGTTTCGAAAGTTGCTTAAAGTAGTGGATCTTTATGCGCGTAAAGCAGTGCTGTATCGTCAGCAAAAGCGAAGAAAATTGTTTCTGGAAGGAGAGAAATGTCGGCAGTATTTGTCGTGTAAAGGAGAGGTCCAAGAATGCTCCCTTGTGGGACGCTAGCTTGGATAGGATAGATATAGGATATCGCTGTACACTGCCTAACTCTGAATTAACGATCAGACAGGTACGTACAGGTTGTTATAAAAAGCATACCCGCGTGAGATCTTCCGGCAGCCTAACTCAGAAATGGCCGATCCTATCAAAATTTTCCTTTCAGTAAAAGTGGCATAAAATAAGCTCTGGAATCGAACTGTACAATAAAAATATGACATTCTCATTTAAAATATTGGGTTGTCCGGAAAATAATGCAGGATTTTAAGTTTTCATTAAAAAAAATCTATATAAAATATTCTGTTTACGTTTACAGGATTACTCATTNGGAAATTATTTTGATTAAAGAACATTGCTTTAAAGTAACTAGTTTCTTTTTTTTTGTTTAATACCAAAATCCTGCATTATTTTCCGGACAACCCAATAGTATGGCAGTGTCATTCCCCAGCTAGATGAGAAAATTATGTTAAATCTGTTACCCCCACGTGATTCCTAGCCAAAATTAACTTGGCATTCGTATAAGACCATTTTTTACTAAAGGTAACCTTTCCGAATTAAATTCACCAATTTAATAACTATAGCAGTTGATACAACCTGTACATCGAATATCCGAGTAATATCTCTCAATAGCCATCCTTGAGGAGTGAATTAATGGAGAATTCACATATTTTAACCTATTTTTGTTTCAGAAACGTTTTGCCGTGAAAAATGGATAAACTTGAGAAGCAATTTCGCCAGGGAGTTGAGAAAAACGCGAAGAAAAATGTACGAAGAAGGAGTAAAAGCCAGTTCCCAATGGGTATTTTATGAGGAGATGATGTTCCTTTCGCCATTCGTCAAGACCAGACTGTAAATGACGTATTAAAAAAAGAAAAAAAAGTCAGAATCTAATTTTTAATGTTCTAGGGCGACGGTAGAAAACATTACGGAGCATGATGACCTGAGGATGAAAATGGAAAGGGAAAGCACCTCCGTGGAACTGGAACCGATCGTGGACGAACAACCCGAGTTGAACAACAGTCACGTGGACGGGAAAAGGAAACACGTCGACGAAGATATGGACGACGACAAAATGTTCCTTCTAAGCCTACACTCTAAGCTTAAAGAGTTGCCCCTTTTGGACAATCTGGCATTCAGGATCGAAGTACACACACTACTTCTGGAAAAGCTCAAAAGTGCCATGAAACAGTCAACCGTGTCCGTGGGTTCAGAACCGTTTAAACAAGATCCAGATTGTGTCTAATGCTTTGTAAATGCATGTTTTTACTGTAAATGATTTTAAGAAATAATTGCTCTTTTGTCTACCTTATAATAAGTGAGTTATATCTTCTTTCCGTTTTAAGTAATTTTTGAAATAGGAGAGTGAAAGATAAAATGTCGATATAGAATTTTATGAATATCTAGCAACAACTTATAATAATTTTTTCTTGTTATTCACAATTAAAAATACACGGGTTATGCCAGAATTCGAACCCAGGATCGTTAGTGTGGCAAATACGAGGCGGACTCCCTAACCACTCGGCTACCGCGGTCTAATATACAAGGTGGCCCCAATCGATTCAGCCACACTTCCAGATCTTATAGGAAATTGAACGCTGAGGAAAAAAGGTCCTATGAACCTGTGTCCACAAACCCTTCATTTCCGAGCCTCGGGCAAAAAACCATGAAAAACCACGTTTTTTGACCTTATTCGTAAAATTGTTAGTAAACCGTTAGCCTGACGGTAAAATAGCTCGAAACATCTGTAGAAGATTAATTTCTGCGTCGAATGAGATTAAAACCAGACTGATCGGCCGAAAATTTCATTTTTGGCGATTTTTCGAAGTTGGGAGGTGAAGGGGTACAAAATCCACCATTTGTGACATTTTTATCGAAAATTCACAACTTGAACACCCTATCAAAAAATTCTCCGTTACAAACCTCATAGGTGTTCAAGTACCACCCGGGGGTTTTTGAGTTATTTAAATTCGTATCGAGGAAGTTGGCAGAAGATGGCGCAATGCCGAAACATGTTTGAAAAACATCGTGTGGAGACAGACCCAGTAAGTGACCCGGTGCCAGTTGAACATGATTAACCTATGAGCCTATATCTGAGTACATCGAGCATCAAATCTTACGTAGATGACTGTGAATCGATATTCAAAACAATCGATACTTTCATAAAGTTCATCCAATTTATTATTAATTTATTTTTAAGAAAAAAAAAGTACATGTTTCTATCTGTATCAAAACTATATCATCACAACTGTCGTATGAAGTCAAGTATTTAAACTGTTGATAAATAATATCTAGTTTCGATAACCAACAAAATTTACGTTTCGTCAATGACCTGTTTGATCTTGACAATTATATATACTCAATTTACCAAGTATCAAAACGATTCATATTTATGAATAATCGAGTGCAACTAAACATAAATACTATCGTCTTTTAAATACTAATCGATTATTGAAATTACCACAGTATGCATTATCATTACTAACGAGTATACATCCAGCATCAAAACATACGATAGTTTTATGAATCGATATTCAAAATAATCAATACATTCATATCGTTCATCCAAATTATTATTATTATTATATATGTTTTTTAAGGAAAAAAGTACATGTTTCGCAGTATTAAAACTATATCACCACACCTCTCATATAGACAAGTGTTTAATCTATTGATAATTATTAATATGTAGTTTCGATAGCCATTAAAATTTACGTTTCCTCAATGACCTATTCGATCTTGACAATTATATACCCTCAATTGACCATGTATCAAGACTATTCATATTTATGTATAATCGAGTGCAGCTAAACATAAATACTATCGTCTTTTGAGTACTAATCGATTATTAAAATTATCACATATTATTATTATTATTATTATTATTATTATTAATATTATTATTATTATTAATTTTTAAGGGCGTTTTAACGGCTAAGGTCATTTCACGCCCTAATATCCAAACCTTCTATCTTAGGTATTATACTTTATTATTATTATTAACGAGCATCAAAACTTACGATAGCTTTATGAATCGATATTCAAAACAATCGATACGTGTATTATTATCAAAATTGTGTTATTTTATATGTACATAAAAAATAAAAAACTCCATGTTCATGGCAGAATTAAAACTACCAATTTTTGTCGATATCGATAACATCACTACTATCGATATTAGAATATAATTAGTGAAATGATAGATATTTATTAATCCGCGTTTCGATAAGCATCAAAATTCACATTTCCTTAAGAAAAACATGAAAAATGTCGATACAAGAATATTGATCAATTATTGAAATGATCGATATTTCCATCTATTAATGAAAATATTAATACTTATCAATATCGTTCTATTTTTTATATTTTTATTTATTTATTTATTTTTTTAATAAGACAGTGAACAGTGAAACGACTTCAACAATTTCTAAATTTAAAAGTCAACGTTTGCTCAGGCCACTTTTCCTCATTACAAGGGTGGCTGCGCATCGCATTACACATCCGTAATACCGTAATTAACATGTTAACTGCCCGGCGACCCCCCCCCCTTTCGACGTTAAGGAAAGTCGTCAAGATGTAAATTGTTTATTCAATTTTTAAAAGTTTTCTGTTTTCTTCAGTTTTCAATTTTTATGACAGTGTTTTGAATATACTGTACTCTTATAAGGAAGGTCATCTATATTTATCAATCTTCGACAACTTACATTTTGGCACTTGTGTCATAAAGTATTACGCATCGAAAATTTATTCATTGTCAAAAAGAGGAATGAAAGATGAAATCAAATGGGAAAGGAAAAATAGGAAGATTGACGCACGACTTTAACGATGACTCTAAAAAACTACTAAAAAATAAACTTCGTATTGTCGTCATCATTGATTGGCATTTTTACACTACCGGGGTCGATCGGGTATACACATACCAAATTTAAGACAACCAATACTTTTCAAACAAAACAGGAAGTAAACAATTTCCACCAATTTCAATTATTACTAATAAGCACAGATTATTAACAGGAAAGCAACAATTGTGGGATTTTGCCATAATTTTTTCATGGCCAGATAATATTTTAAGTTTGAGAACTACGTATTACGATGTATTTTTAATTGTAAAATAAGTTGAAAATACTAAATCAACTGGGATAATTTATGTGATACGGCATGAGTGGAAAAAAATTATTTACAATTGGAAAGAAGTCACTTTTTCTACCTTACTTAATTGGAAAAATTAACCTTCATTTGGTACTCTGCACCGGGGCTTCCCAATCTCTGGTCCTTGGCGAACTTCAAGAAAAATTAATAATTACAAAAATAAACGTAGAATGAATAAATAAAATTAAAAACTAATAACAATGAGTACTGAAAACGAAAGTTTTTTTATTTTGCAGCTACAGTTGTGGTCTCCAAAGACATGCTATAGCTATGAAACAAATGCCAGCCTCTTTTAAGAAAGTTTTGGATGAGTCTGTTCTAATTATTAATTATATCAAGTCGCAGCCATTGAAGTCAAGACTTTTCACAATAATATGTGATGATATGGGAAGCCTTCATCATTCCCTGTTTCTCCATACAGAAATGAGGTGGCTTTCTCGTGGGAAAGCACTTTCACGATTACAGGAATTACGTTCTGAAGTCTTATATCTGTTTATGGACCACAATTTCAAATTGGCCAAAGTGGCAATGGATGGTGACTTATTTATCAGATATTTTCATTAAAATGAATGAGATGAGTTTTCTTTGCATGAGAAGAGTATCACAACTTTCGATGCTAATATAAAGTTCCCGTCTTCAAAGAAAAATCCCGTTTTGGGTTGAATCCGTTGAGAAGGAAAAGGTGGAGGTTTTTCTGTGCTAAATGATTTTTTTTTTAGAAGAGAAACAAAATGGAGTTTGCGAACGGGGCGAAATATGTGAACACCTTCGAAGTTGGTAGCTGTCCTTTGAGCTTGGGTGGTCAAACCGTTTTCAGTTTCGACAAAGCCAACCCGTCTTCAGATGCATACAAATGTTTGATAGGCATTACTGCAAACTCCACCTTGAAATCTATTTTCGAGTCCGACACTTAGACCATTTTTAACCTCGACTGGAAAACAAAAAATTTCAACCACTTGTTGAAAAAGCAAAATGTGTGTTCTTCCATTTAGCACAACTTAAACATGCGAATCCCGATTTTCTATCTGTATAGCTCACATAACTAAATATCGAAGCTGCCTAGACGCTGAACCCGACATCCGTCTCCAGCTATCAAAAATTAAAACCAACACATCCAAATTGTGCAGGCTAAAAAACCTCACTCTTCCATTAATTCATTAATCATTATTCTTCAAATCATTATTTTTGAAATTGGCTCGAGTTCCGTTCTGTCCAATTTGGGTTTTATGTTCTGCAGTTTGAAAATAAGGGTAAGTATGAAAATCTAATGTTTGTTTTTATAGTGATATCTCTCTCCATCACCTATTAGGCATGGACTCGCTAATTTATAAAATTTTGATTTCATTATATACTATAAGAATCTAATTTTAAATGGGAGAGGTCCGTCCTACATTTCGCTCTGGGAAAGGGGTCCGCTGGCTAAAAGGTTTGGGAATCTCTGCTCAACAGGGTCTCCTTATTAGAGTCCGGCTGAATTTCTCTTCAACCAGTGACGCTATAAAATAAAAATTGTTTAATTGTTTAGGCTAGTTTCAATTTTTTTTTTAAGAAAAATTATACAGGGTCCTCAGGCACAGTTCAACTTCAAAATTTTAAATACGACCCTATTCACCCTGAGGCATCATTTTACGAATTTTTTACGCTGAAAGCATGGTGAATAGGATTTCAAATTGGTCAAAAAATTAAAAATGTTTGAAAAAACAGTCATTTGGTTTCCTATTTATTAATCTCATTTGATGTTCGAACTGCCTGCCTTGCATAAAGATGGAAAGATTTGCTCTTCTTAACCATTTTTAACCGGTGCTCAGAGCGATAGAGTCAGGGGAGTTGGATTGTCAAGCATTTTCTATCTTTCGCCGCAGTCCTTCAACTGAGATTGCTGGGTTATGATTGACGTAGACACTGCTATTTGAATGACCCCACAGAAAATAATCAAGTGGAATTAAATCGGGTCGTATTTGAAATTTTCAAGTTGAACCTGAGGTACCCTGTATAATTTTTCACCAAAAAAAGTAAAAATTTGAAACTAGAGTAAAAATATTAAACACGATTTTTTTTACAGCGTCATTGGTTCAAGAGAAATTCAGCCGGGCCAGCTAAAAAGGGCACCCTGTACATTATCCTGGAACCCCCT